ATATAGTAAAAGGAGCAAAATCGTAAAATGATACGACATACGATCAGTCGGCAAGTGAAGTAATGGAAATTCACACCATATAGAAACGGGGCAGCTTACCTATGACAACTTAATTTTGACTTAGCTTTTTTAGAACACATTTTTTGATGAAGTGATTTCAATTAGTTTGTATGGATGACAAACGAATGCCGCCGCGAAACGGCGGAGATGGAAATTGTACATCCTATTAATGGAAGCTTCGGCAAGATGAGAAGTTAGGTCATCGTACAAAGGGAGCAAGGGCTAATTGAAATAACGCTGTGAATCTTCTGCAATAAACGGAATTAAGCAACGATTGATAAGTAAAAAAAAGGGATTTTTGGGTTTCGTATGAAAAAATATTCCTGGAAACTCGACGGTCCACCAGCATGGCTAAAATTTTAGAAAAATAAACATTTTTGAGAGGTCTTACTGCATAGAGCTAGTTCCTTCTGGTAAAGTGAACCAAAAGGACAAATCAGTCTATGATCATTCACCATTTGAATCAATCCATTACGACAGATCATGTCTGTAACCATACATTCAACCGACATTATCAGATTCTAAACGATGGAAGCCTGAGACAGCATCATGTCCAGAAATGATTTGAAAGTGCGCGCCGAAACAGCTAAAAGTTTGGTTCGTTTCGAAACAAGCATCAAAGACAACGCGGATATGAAAAGCCCAACGATTACAAGCGATCTTAATTAACAAGATAAGCTAAAACCTTTAAGATATGTGTAAATATGCCTATGCTTAGATTCCGTGCTAAAAGTACTATAGAAGAGAGCAATCGAACGGAACATAACTGGCAGTTTCAACACGGAACCGTCATCGTATTATTACAGTTTCTTAAAGACGCATACGAGCGATAATGAACGATACGAAATGAACACTGAACTCAGATAAACAAGTAGAGAAAACGATATCACTAAATATAACAGTAATACAGCCGTGCGTCTTGAACGATTTTGTTAGGAATGTGAGTGCCGATGTTTACATGTTTACTTCAGTTAACTATATTCTACTGCAGAGCAAAATACGTTGCTTTTTATGCGTACGTATAGTTTTTTTTTTTTTTTTTTAAATATTTTTTGTGTAATTTCTATTCCACGAATATTATTAGCGTTGCCCTTCGGGAAAAATCCTTTCTGAAAGTTCTTGGCGTATTAGGTAATATTTTAAACGTCACGCGTAATCTAAATCCAAAGGACCTTATGACGATTCTTAACAGGTCTCTTAACCACATCTTGATGATCTTGACAACAATACACGCGAGCTTGAGCCCAGCGTGTGCTTCCTTGTGGGCAGACATAGAAGCTTACAGTTATGCGGTATACTAAAAAAAGTTTAATCAGCTCACCGCAATATCAAATCCACAGTCAGGATAAGAAGCCGGAGATGAAAGATGTGGATTGTATTTAATATCCATTGCATTATGTGCTCACGCTGATGACACGTTCCTCGAAATATTTACGCCTTGCAACATATGACAAACATGGATCTCTATTCATTCTATTTTTCCCTTTGCGTTACAGGTAGATTCTTGATCTGTTGGGATCTAGAGGAATATAGGTGGCGGCATTTTCATTGAAGGATCCTTCGGTGGAAGGGGTCCACCAATGATGGCAGCTGCAAGTCGTATCTAACTACCAAAGAGTTCAGAATCTTCACATAGATTATGATGGTCACAACTGTATCAGAAAGAGTGTGAATAATCTCGAATGCAGGACGTTTGTTATTACCAGTGATGTAATAAATACAAACTGATCAGGCCAGCAAGCCCCAAGCAAGTAAGGTGTCAGGAAGAAAAACTCTTTAATTTTCAAAAGTCCTTTAACGAAAGGGCGCCACATTACAGTCAGAAAAATTACTTGTGTAAGCTAACGGATGCTTATGTAAGCTGGATATTTAGTTCAATTTAGACATTTATCGGAATTTGCTAAATCGGAATTTATTTGTTACACGTTTTTTGGATCGAGTGGTCGATCTATCAATCAGCCGCGTTTCTTTCCCGTCATGTCGCTTGCCGAAATGAACATTTAAGAATGAATTTGCTGTTGCCTTACGTAAACCGTCAGCGCAGTAAGCATTGTATTAATTGATGAATTTTTGTCATAGGGTCTATCTTTGAATATTGTCTTTTTAATCGCTTCTAGGGTGAGTATTTTGGAGATTTGTGACAATCGTCTCAAATAGTCATATATGGCTATATTTAATGCTAACGATTAAATTAAAAAATGGTGTAAACTTTTGATATCTAGCTCTTCAAATCTTCTAGTGTTTGCTGCTATTTTATTCACTTACGTATACATTAGTCGATATATATTGTGTGGCCGGTGCAGGTAATCGTCTATTTCCGCATACGAAATTATAGCTATAATTGCGAAATTATCCTAATTCCCCTGTGGTTGCCAGCCGTGTTCTACTACTAGTAATGATAATAATAATGTCTCGAATATGCTAATGTTTAAATATTTTACTTGTCTATTCATAAGGTGCTGGCTTTTTCAACGGTTATGAAGACCCAATGACGGTCCTTGATTGTAATGTAGGGTAACTTCAGTTTTCTTTTCCCACATCCAAAGCACTTGAGTCTACTGGAACGGGCCCACAACGGTAGCTATATCTGAAAAGCGGACAAACATAACCGTTGGCAACTAGGCTGGGCTGAAGCCCTGTGACGACGGGACTGAACAAAGAAAGCTGGCCAGCTGAAGAACGTTGTATGAACTAGACAAAGAACGCAATGTGTAGAAATAAAACGTAGTGAGAAGAGATAATCATGCAGTATGTGTTATTTGTTACACGTTTTTAGGGGAAATCTTGTTCTAAATCTGAAAGCCATATTTAAGGAGAGTATAGACTGATGTCGGCCTATGAAGATGATCGTCTTTCACGAAATATGTAGATTTTAGTAGATGTATGATGGTTTTTTTTAATAAGCATAAAGAGAAAAACGATCACGTTAATTCTCTCTAATGTATTTCTGATAAATCCGAGTTTGCAATATAACCGAAGAGTTATTTGGCCAGTTCGGTCAAGTACTTCGAGATGTGATGCGCATGTGAGGTCATCATGTAGGGTACTCAACGGCGCTGTTCTAAAGATGATTGTCTAACACGTTAGATTCTAGGCACCGGATAGCGAATTACCAAATTCCTACCGAGTTCATGATTTACCACTTCCCATCGTGGATACTCTTCAAGGGTAATTTTTGCTTGGAGGAGAGTAAATAAATGAGATTTGTATTAGCAACGTGGCAAGCGCAACGTAGGACCAGTGTCATAGGTACCAGATCTGGTATGACAGAATAATCTGAGGTAGTAAAAGGTGTTCAACCGAATCCGAATATTTTATTTAAAAAAAAAAAACAGGTAAGTAAGTGACGTGAAGAAAATCTAAATAAGCTGGCCATTAAGCTTGTGTATCAAATTCACACGACTGCCTGCAGAAATCATATAATTCAATAATATATAATATAATAATGGGTTTCTTAATCAAACATTACCTCACGATGAGGCAGTCTTTTACAGGAGAAGTTTACTGGCTTTCAACATATTGGTAACGCAATTTGCCGAACTAAGCGATCCGTTTAGGCTAAATATCGCAGAGCTAATTAATGACAATTTTTTGCTTTTGATGACAGATGCTTGTGTTATAAAGTTATTAAAAGATACAAATTATTATAAAGTATTTAAAAGGCAGCTGTTTCAGTTATAATCAACTGTTAGCTGGTATATAATATTATATTTTGTAAGTTGTATTTAGTGGACGGGAAGTTATTTTCGACAGGAAACTCTTTGAAACCAATCAAGTTATCAATCACAGTTTGTCGTTAACGTGCAGCAGATATCTGTGCAATCGTCGACTTCAACCTGCATGAGAGCAAGAACGGAAAGAGTCAATATGAATAGAAAATTGTTTCAAACAGTTAGGGTAGCAGTGTTGGCCTTTTAGGCTCCCGTGTTTAGGTAACGAAATTCAATTAGCAAATCGATACATGCATTCAAACTGATACTACAGACTATAGAATATGGCTCGTATTGCCATCTAAATTTATCGAGATTCGCTCCTTTTTGGAATCTGGTGTTAAAATCAATGTTTGGAAGTAAAGTTAACTCAGAGTCAACTGCGAAATAATACGCACAAAGCTGTTAATTTATCGATCGTTTCTTTTTCGTCAAGTACTGTTTGCTCATTTCTTATAACTATTACACAAACTTCCGAAGGGAGTAATACGACAACGAAAAGCACTACGACGTATAATTTGAGTTAAAACCTAGTCGCTCAACGTTCTTCGATGCGTTTCTGAGTAAGCTCATTGCTCATCGCTCGCAACCAGTGGGCTCAATCATAGAACGTCGCGATTGTTGCTCCGACATTTTTTCCATTGTAATTGCGTTCTTATCACCACCAACGATCAAATCGTTAACAATGTATCACAGTAACTCTACGCACGTGTCACCCTGTCCCGGTCACTTTCATATAGTAATTGTACGGCCGATGTCTGACTGATGGTCAGCTAGTTACGTTTCGTCGACAGAAGCGACCAGATGTGAATGGAGAGAACCGCATAGATGGGAGAAAGGTGACGAGAAAGAAGAAAACAAAATTGGCAATTACACCTCCGCCTCCGGTAGATATTTTTGGTGTTCGATCCAGATAATTGTGTTCTAGTAACGTTGGCTGCCAGTAAACGACGCAACGAGCGCGGCTTCATAGCCCTGCTAGATGGAATAGATCGCAAACACTTTTCCTCTTATCTTGTTCGTGAAGGTCCGTCGTCGTTGCTACGTCAGCTTTGAACGGTTCAATTAAGCCGTTTCAGCTTCCGCTGTCGCCTTGGGGAACAGGTCGTTGCATTGAGGAAATGCGTTCAAACCACTTCTTCCCCGATAGGAGTCGCCGCCAAAGCAGCCGTTGTTTCTGTCGTGTATCGCTTCTGGGGAAAGTTGATCAACAAAATGGACAAAGCCTAGAAGATACATCCGCCAGCATAGCCTAGTTGTTCTGTGCGCGTTTTCGTATGTGAACGCAAATATACGGAACACGTAAGCAGGATAAACGCGTACATGCAAAAATTCATATAGTCGTTTATATATATGAATGTATACAGCAAGCCAAGGATCAAAGTCACCTGCGTATGGAGTCAGCTGCGCAGTTATTTTGGCATGGCTGCAAGGATGCTGGAAAACGCTTTGAGCCTTGACCTCTTCGTTCTCTTGCCTCAATATTGTTTATTAAACTAGGAGATCTTATTCATTTCTAGAGGACGCTTACTTTTAAAATCAAAATTTAATCATTAGTGTAGCGTTCAGCGTTGGTGTTAACAAACCTTGATATAGGTACTGCAGTAGACAAGCGGAGCAATCGCTTGAATGACTTTCAAACATTTTTAAACTTCGAGATACTACTGCCACTTCATTTTTTTTCGTATTTATTTTTCGTATATATCGTCAGTATTTTCGAATGCTTAAAGCAGGTGCCTGCGAACGATTTTTCAGGTTAACTTAAAATCACTAAGCGGTCACTTAATCGTAAGTTCGCTTTTATTTTCGTTACTATTAAATCACATGTTTTGCCATTAGTTCAAAGTCACCAACTGCCACTTAGTAGATTGCTCACTCAGCAACGTAGAAGAAACAGGTAAGGTATCAACATAGCAATAAACGTGACTTTTTATGAGTGGACATTGAAATTAAGAAGAAGAAAATAATATGAGACGACGATGTAAAGCTAAAGTTGTTAATCTGTTCCACTAATAAGGAGATCGTCTGTAGGCTACTTACAAGATTCAGACTAAGAGATTGCTCTTCGCCATTTCCTTTCTTTACATACGTGCGTCTTCTAAGCGTTCCATCCTTCGAAAAACTGTAATGATTAAAACTTCGAACATTGTGCCTCCGATGTTGCCGAAACAAGGAAGAAATCGGATCACTCGTCCTCTTCGAATGCTGGCTGATACATTGATGCTATCGCAACAGCTGCCGCTGATGAGTAATTGAAAATTGGCTTCAGTTCAGACGACATTCGACTATCCTCCCCCGGCCTGTCGCTGTCGCGCACGATTTGGCAAACCACTCTTCTCCTCCTTTGATTTCTGCAGTTTTTTTACCTTTGCGGTGCCATCGTAAGCGCGGAAGTTGGCAGCCGCCGTCGACGGCAACGCTGGCATTGGTGACGCTAGACGTCTTGCTTCTGTCCATTCCGTTAGTTCATCTGTTGCGAAGCTTTTTTCCGGCTTGTCTCTGTCGGCCATCTTGCCTTTTAAAAGTTTTCCCCGGAGGAGTTTACATGAAATTTCTTCATTGGTAACAACTAACGGAAACGCGTTTGACAAGAGCTAGCCGAAACGTCGCCGCCGCCGCCGAATGGGCTGTTTAATATCCACTGTTTTTAATAGTAATATTATAGGTGTATATAGGATGTATATAGTGTTGATGAATTTTTCCGCTTGTTTTGGAACGTCTTTTCGATTTTGGGCAGTACTTGTAATGTATTGTATGACATTCTGATCATGCATAGCGCTACGTGCAAACTAAAATAGTCGTTGGTGCAAGTCGTTGGTTTTGTAATAGCGGAAAACAAAGAGTTTTCCATCAACCACAAGCAAGTTTGCCTTTATGGTTAATTACAGTATATTACAGTATATTTATAAGTACTCCTAACTGGTGACTAATAGAAGTTGTTCTCTCTGCGTGCTCGAAAATTCTATTTAGTATAATCAAATGTGAAAGGATCTCCGGTTAAAAAGCTAACGGAAAAACATTAGCATTAATTGTTAATCTAGTTGAAAGACATGTTGTTTCCGGCCTTTGTGTTCCCTGAGCATTCCTGAAGCCTATGAGATATTATCAGAAATTTAACATTAGTAGTCAGATAAAGTATTCGTATTCGCACATTAGATGCAAGCTATACAGATCGAATCAGGTAAACGCTTTCATAGAGATTAGGCCATCTACCGAAAACGTGACAGCTCCTATTCGTTTCAAATGATAACTATTTACCTCTGACTAAGGCGTAATTGTGGTTTATAAAAGTTAAGGCTTTAGGCAACGCTTCCTGTTCTGCATGAAGTTATTAGGTCCATCCATTAGCTTACATATAATGGTACCATAAGGGTTTATCGGTAAACTATGTATATAGCACAATTAAGGAGCTGAAATACATTGTGGGCAATAGGTGCACGTTTTGAATTAATATTGCAGGCCTTGAACTAGATGTCTTTAGAAACTAAACATTGCAAAATGCAATTGAAAATTAATTAAAAACACATCGTTATGATTTAAACGCCATGTTTAAAATAAAGTCATGTTAAAAAGGTAATATTTAAACGGAATGGTTGAGACTATTTTTTATTGTATGTGCCTGAAGCGAACTGAGCTCTTTATAGAAATAGAAAATATAAACGATTTGCAATAAGCGCTATGGCAGATTTTGTATAGATCCCACTTTTTAAGGGCAGATACACCGTTATTCAAACTATATGGCATGTGGAACTGCTGGACCAATTTAAAGGAACGTTATATGATAATCTTTAGACTTTGGCTGGAAACTTCGAGTACACAACGATTCAGTTAATCTTCGGTCGAAATATGAAATTTGTTCAAGCATTAATATTTGTAGGGTGACTATTTATTTTATCTAGTCAATACCAAATAATAATCTAGCGCACACTTCGTTCTTGTCTCAACTGATAGGGGTAGTGTGGCTCCGATGGTTCAGAACGCTGCGGCGTCTCCGTTTTCTCTTGACGGTCCTAACGATGGCTACAGCGCGGACGGTCATTCTGTCGGGTCTGGGTTGGGTTTGGTTCGATTTCTTCAAACGTCTGCTCCTCTCTGTACGACGACCACTCCTCACCGTCGTCGATAAATTCGCGCGCCGACCGTTTTCCCGTTGTTATATAAAGCGTCGCTAGCTCACGGTTCCGATCGCCCAGTCACCAAAAGTAGACTCCCAATGCAACATTATAACCTAATGGCGCATTGTTATTTCGCACAACTTTGCACGTTTTAGCCACATAGCACAACGCGAGACAGCGTTTCCTGAAACAGGCTGCCGTATAAGGAGACGTTATCGTATTTCGTTCGTTCTGCGATATAGGACAGTGCCACCTCAGCGATTAAACAGGGCTCCGATCTGCGTGAAGCCTAAGTCGATAGTAAAAGGCAGAAGGCAATATGAAGCCACTTGTACTACGAACCCATGTGGTTGCCATAGCAATCTTTTTGCCATTGGGAACGTTTGCGGACGAACTGTTACAACCAGCCGTAGGAAGCGCTAGGACACCAGCCAAGGAAGGTAAGCTGCTGAAACAAAGTGTTGGCAACGGCGTCATTAGTCTTTTTTTTTTATCGCAGCAACACTCTAAGTGGCTCTGCTCCTATTGCCCAATTCACACATATACCGTGACGCTTCTTTTTTCATTGACTCAAACTGGAGCTATTCAAGTGTAGAATTTCCATGTAAGAAAGCAGAACTTTACACAAAATGGAAATAATTTGGTAGCACATAATTACATTTAATGAGATTACAACTTGTTCTACTAATAGCTAAATTACGCACAGAGTTGGGGATCATTAGTGCCAGTCAATAAAATGCAAATAAGCCAAAAAAGCCAATTATATTGTATTCTAAGAGAATCGTGTTAAAAGAAAATATCCTCTTTTATTTGGTCCAATAAACGAGATTCCTTCGAGAGACTAAAATTTACCGCTAATGAGAATCCTGTTTCGTATAGCGGAGTGCGTGGCAAACATGACCCGCCTACTGGAGATCTTCAAAGAGGAATTTCCACGACAGGTAATTACACATTAATGAAAACACACATTATTTCCCATGGCTTGTCTTGATGGATTTCTTATTATGCGTATTTTTGCGTATAAACACAGAAACCTGTATTTTTTTATAGTTAGAATACCTAACATTTATAAGTCATATATATAATCTAGCTTAAGACAAGTAAGTCAAAGACGAATTAGCTGAATTTGTAATCTTATTTTCTGTTCATAGGTCCCTGATGTGATTGACATTAAGGGCACCGGCCGTAAGCCCGGTAAAAGTGCCATGTTGCTCACAGGATTCCAGGACGCCCAACTCGTCACACCACAGAAACTCGTGAGTGAGGCTTTGTATAAAATCTCTGATTCTTGCTCGCTTTGAAGTGAACACCGTAATACATGGCGTCTTTAAGAATATCACATGTGGCAACTTATAGCAAATTAAACCACTTCAATTAGTTTACATTGTGAACATGCTTCAATCAGAATAGATCATAAAATGTTTTGAAGGTGTATATTGCTTTGGTCGCATAATTGCATAAATTCGGACGTAAACTTACATGCTCCCAAACATTCTACCGCGTTTTAACACAGGAGTGTAGCAACGAGACAACAGTCTCTTTCGTGGTGCCGATTGAAGGTCGTGCTGCCGTCTACCTTGGACCTGCTGTCCGGCCTGACGTTGCCCGAACCTACTTCAAGGTGACCAATCGAACTTACTATAGCAAGTATGTTTTTATCAGGTCTCTTTTCAAAACAAAAACAGGTTCGACGGTGCATTCGGTATGCAAGCGTTGACTGAGCAACGCTCAAAGAAAAACCTATAACTCCCGCGCGTATTTTTCAGGCAACAGTCAAGTTAGCGGGTACGTTCAACTTATTGAAGGGGCCATCGCTCGAAAAAATTGAGGTGACAAAGACGGCTCTTGACACTGTACAACTACTTGACTCGGCAAGCAGCGGCGTCAGGGACATTAATCAGGTAAAGCTAAGCTATATTACATACATTTAAAAATAGACTTATTGTATAACACTCTGTTTTTGTTAAAGTATTGTGATTATAAATTATGTACGCCTCTTTTTGTTCTCACAGCCCGCTCAACAGTTCGTCGCTCGAGTATGCTCGACATTGCTCAAGCGTGCTTTAGCGAAGGAGGTACCTGCGATCACCAAGAGCGGCATCGCGAAATCCTTAGCTGATTTGCAGCAGACGTTTATCAATTCATCGGTTGCTGCATTAGAGAAGCGAGGTGTGCAGATCTATAAGCTTCTCGAGAGTATGCTGAAAACCAACAAAGAGTCCTCGACAGCTAGCAAAGGCTCCGCCAAGGTAGCGATATTTAGAACTGTGTCAGACGATATCGGGCAGCAGAAAAGTTGAGAGGTATGACCTGATAAGGACGCACTGTCTAAAATGGTTTCATATCAAACTACTACCATACTTTTTCAGACGATAATGCTCTTAAGAAAAGTAATTAGCCGTCAGTGCTTGTTTCGTATAGGGACTGCCTGCTAGAGAGCCGACACTGACAAAGCAAAGATAGTTTTTATGAAAGATTCTGCCACCCATTGCAAACTGTAGCCATTTTTATAGCTAGGGTAGGTGAATAAATCTTAAAAATCGACTAACGATTATCATTATTATTATTACTCTAATTTAACGAACGATCACTCTAACAATATTTTTTTAAAAAATTAATTCAAGGATAAGGCGGAAGCCGATAGGCCGATCACTACCCAGGATCTGATCACTCGAAGGAGAACGGCTACGCCTTAGAAATCAAAAAGTCGTCAGCGGTATGGAATAGTAGTTATCTCTGTCGGTCGACGTTTGTTTCGGTGACCAGGCCATATCCTCGAGTGCAAGGGAATCGCATCGAATACAAGAACTCATTTTGTAAAACGCTGTTTTCAAAGACAACCAAAAATTGTCTTACTGGTGTTAAAATGACTTTGGTGTTTGGCCGATTATCAGACAATTTGTTCGACCTGTTCATATGATTAAGACCTTTGTAATACAGGCCAATTGTATTCAAAGCAGAGCCCTATTTTTTGGCGGACTCTTTTTATCCGAACCAATCAATCGGAATGAGAATTTTTGATGGGTAGAGCGAGTTCTAGCATTTAGCTAGGCGTAGATTAAGTGCTATTTAAATTCTGATATATGCCTGTATTGGAGAATACACTATTTATTCTGGAAGAACATAGAATGTTGTTGTTTTTTTATTCCAAGTTATTCCAAATATGTATAAAAAAGCCTTACTTTTTAATGCTGGTACCATCAACCAATCCGTATCCATTGTTCACTACTCGTGTTTACGCCACAGTATGAGATACAAAAGAGAAGCTGATCGGCTAGCGAGCATATTATTTATTAAAAACTAAAAGTGCGAAACGTTCAAGCAAAAATACCATTTTCGAGAAAACAAACTGAAAAGCCATGTTTTGTCCAATTAGCACCAAGCATTATGGAATTAGAGAATTTTCCTAAACTGATTTTAATACAAGCTGGTTTTCGACTAGCAGCCGAGAAGTTCCTGTATAATCGTGTATATCTAAATGTCCTCATTAGTTTTATTGGAGAGAAGGTTGTAACTAGAAACGAGTACCAACCGAACACAAGAATCAAAACTATGCACAAATGGTTGGCTTATACGTTGAAAGTCGAAAGCTATTTAGTATTTCTTTTAATCAGATCCTCCATATGCCTTAATATTCGACACCAACTGAACGATATCTCGATTCCAATTACTCCCTTTCTAACATAAAGGAATGAAATTTAGTTCACAAAAATAGCTTCTTTTTATTTGCATTGTGATACCATTGTCTCCATTAGACTTCTCCAAAGTTGTTAGTAATTCGATTAACAAACTGTCGTAACTTTCTATTACATTTCAGTACATTCCAACCTTATTATTACATTCTCGTTAGAATCTAGCCAGAGTCGTAGCTGTAACGTAATTTGAAAAGATCCATAATTATCATAAATATTGCCCTTGAAAATAGTTCGCCTACATAATCTCAATCTATTAATAATTCAGCCAAACTCTGAACACGTCTTCGACATAAAATGTAACACTAAATAGCTTTACTGCACCTGTTTCTATTTCACGAATCAAACATTGATAGAATGCTGCTATTAGCAAAGGTAAACAGATCATCTTATAGGTAAAAGCAATTATACAAAGGTCAATTTCGTATGATTCACTGGGATATTTATGACTCATTTAAAATATTTATCTAATTGCAACGTCCTTTAACAATGCACATCATAGAAACAAACTCAAAACAACTTATTTTAAATTTAACTTTAGTCAAATTCTACATACCTCAGTTAATTTCTACAATAGTCCAACATTTGAGCGATAGTCGTACAGTACGGTTTCAGTATCCGTCTACATAGATATAGTCTTCATTTTCCTCTAAATAATAAGAATGATCATCGATTTCATCATCATTATATAACTTGTTAGTCTAGTTAACCACAACGCAGCAAATAGATAAAATATCACGTTTTACAATGGGCGGATGTAAAACTATAGATAAAGTTTAATTCGTCCACGGTTAGTATAATGATCAATCTATAATTTCTGTCAAGCATAAATCAGCTATACGTCACACTGATTTCGTCAGTATTGCCATCGATGACTCTTCACAGAAATTAGTAGATATTCTTTAATGTGTACATATATGCGATAGCGGAGCGGATTACTAACCGATTCGTGAAATTGAATCAAGTTTGACTTAAGCATACTTCCGATAAATTAGGATACTAACAGAGAGTAAGATGTAGGAAATTCTATAACTTGTAGCTTCTGTTGGATCAGATAATAATGGTAATAAGAATAATATTGGGTTTACTTTTGCAAAGTCATTGCTTCGCAGGGTCTGTATATCTTGCACCGTACAGGAACGCGCTCTGTATTCGTGTTCATGCATCGAGATACACGCATTCACAATAAATGTGTCTACTTATAGTTAACAAACTGGCATCTCTCTAACATACTTTGCTTGGCCTTCGCTAGGAAGGTGCGGTTAATGGCGTCGTACCATATTCAACAGTACAAACTTGGCAAATACTTATTGCAGCTTGCCTTCCATATGCTAACAGATACGCTCGTTGACATTTTCGGTTGCGATTATCACTCCGAACGCGTCTCGCTCGTGCAGTACAAGCGGACAAGGGCATCGCTTCCACTGTGCGCTTGCTGTTGCCTAGCGATGACGTTAGTTATTAGATATCATTTGCTTTCCCGTTGTAGACAATGTTCCTTGCCATGCTAACTGTCTCTACCGGTCGACAAAGAGTAAGAGATCGTCCCGAACATCCGGACAAGAAAACAGATTGTCCTTCAATTTCCACATAACAACAACAGGAAAAGATAGAGGGAACAAAATCTAAGTGATCGGCGCCGATTTCGTGGCCCGAAACAACTTCAGCGTCATGCAAATGGCGTATAAATCGGCACCCAACGATATCGTTCGTCTTGATAATAGGCCATTATCTTGCCTTCGTTTATGCCGATTTCTTGGCATTGTCCTTAGAAACTGCGCAATTCGTCGCCTCCCAGTAGTATAACACCTGTAGCAAAAAATGCGTAGCATAAGAAAAGCGTGCTTCACGTAATGTTCTAAAATACACGCCTGTTTCATCGAGAAAGGGTCGCAGTTGGTACAAACACTATTAACGACTGTATTATACGGAATTGTTACTACATAGAACATGTTCAATAGTTTTATCATCACATATATTCAAATATAAGCACACCATACCTGAACAACGAGAATTGCATTTGCTACGCTGGCCAAACTGTAGGACAGAGTCATGGCGATGTCGCCGGTTTCTGCGAGAGTAGTAAAGATTCTTGCCAGACATCCGATAAATAGGAGGGACTGCGTTACCAGTGACAGCTGACCTGTGTGTCCCGCTTTATAGTTGTCAAACGCTTGCCATAGCTACAATAAAAGTAAATCGAACCATTTTATACTACGTTCACACGTAAGAATAATCGTTTACTAACGCAATGTAACCAAAAATATGAAAGGGTAATAATCCACGGGTGAATGTGAGCTAGCCGCATAGCTGGACGAACAATTATCGAAACTAGACCATCCTAAAAAATATAAAATAATGCAATTTCTATTAATTTATAGTAATTAAAATGATGTTTTTCATTATTTAACCGATTATTCTCGAATATCATTACACGATCGGTGAATTTAAATTTAGTAGGAATTAGGTACACTATGCTTTGCCGAATATCAGCGTTAACCTCACGATCGAACCTACCCTTCCCGCGATGACGATCGGCGCTGACAGCAGTTGGCCCCAAAGAAGTGTTGACGAGGGAGCCAATCGGTAAATAAACAGACTACTGCAGAGTGCCGCATAAGCGACGATGAACGTTGCTGCTAAGACTCCACGGCCAGAGTAGTGAAGTGCTAAACAAAGAATCAGTATGGTTTCCGCCATCAGGAACGCGCCCTCTCCGTACGCACTACATAACGACAGACACATTGGTAAAAAAAGCACAATTATTAGAAACTCAATGAGTTAGAATATCAAGCTTTTATTGATGAATGTGTTCCCACAGTCAATGCGTAGGGCTCTATGTATTGTAAAAGCTGGTTGCTAACTGACAACATGCGAAGGCGACCCTTGACAACCATCGTATAGAGCCATTCTAATCTGCTAATTATAGAAAATCAAGAGAAAACACTAATAAAATACTAGAATGTCTTACAACCCTTGTGATTGTATACGGCAGTTAATTCTTTGCAGCATAATGAGGAAAAAAGTAACCGAAGAGCAAGTAAACAAGCTCATTGTTTCTCTGTAAACTAATATAACAACTGGTGTCTACCAAGATGGCCTTGTAAAAACTGCAATCCCTTTGAAGTTTAGATGTATTTAGACAAACGTATAAATAATCGATCTAATTTACTACATACGCATCTAACGACGCATACTTGAAAACGGCCATGCCGTTATGTTTTTATTTGTACTACGAGATGATCATTCGATCAATTTGGCTCACTTATCTAGAGAACGGTAAGAATTACAAAATGGATGTATAACAATATGATTTCTCAGTAGGCTCAACGAGCACATTGTGGTGCATTCTTAAGTACTCTGTCGAGATCTCAACACAAAATTTAGTTTTCCACAAGCAAGTTCGAAGTTCACTGCATTCGACAGGATTCTAAAGCCACTGTCAGCGTTTTTTTGGGTTTATTCGAAACTTTTGACCAGTCTTTGGTCATCATTGTCCCAAAATCAATTCCTCTCGCTATGGCAACATTAAGTAAATCTGTCATCTTAATCCAAAAGCAACGCTTGCGTAAAAAATATTTTTTTGCATTTCAACCATTATGCATGTGCCGAACAATTACGTTACAATAATTTCTGATAAAACATATTGAAATCTTCGAAAATATTAAACAGTCCAAAAATTTCAAATAATACCACTTTTTTTTCAATATTTTCTTAGAACGTATCGTTTTAATACATAGAGAATGGCCAAAAGAGTCAATTTCTAAAAGTGACTAAAGAAAATGACGAGTTCGCTAAAACAGGCTAATATTCGGTATATGTGGGAGAGTGATCTAAGTAAACGTCTCGCGGTTTCAGGTCCAGGTGCTATAGCGAAGCATTGCTTCAGATGAAATACGTGTATATGGGCTACTAAAAAGAAGTCAAAGCCATCTAATATGGCCAGAGTTTTACATGCACTTCAAGGTAATTGCATATATAGTCAAATGATGGTCAAAAATACCAAAAAATTCAAATAAATCGAAAACGTCATAGACAAATGAAGCCGCGATTTCGCTTCAAATTAGAAGGCATATCAAATAGGGTTCATTTGAGATCTCCGTCCCATAGGGAATCCCCCTGAGAGGAAATCATTCGATGCAGTAACTATTAAACTTGCTGGATAACCATATTCGTCCAGGACATAGCTAAATTTAGATAACTACCTAACAGAATTAGCATGGTCTATTCTGAAAAACAATACAAAAGTTGCCGTAATTTCATTGTCGAACCTGAACGGATACTGCTGATCGAAATTATAAGCTGTCGTAGCAGTCACCCCAGCGAGGTCAAGAAGAACTGAAGGCAGGGATAAACCTGTGGCTGAAGCAGCTGAAATAATCTTCACGATCTGAGGTAGCTTCACCAATGCCCCGCCTACGACCATTGCATAGCCGAGACATTTTGCTAAAACCATCTTCAGACATTGCACTGAAAGAAACATTTAGGAAAAATTTAACTCAGAGCTGTCTTTTAGATCACTCGGTAGGGATCTGCTCATTTAAGCGATATATAAAGCATATATGAACTGATTGGTCTAGACAATGGAAGAAAGGGAAATTGGAGTTTTGGTTGATTTGTACTGATCTACTAAATCGGCACTTTCAAATTATCCTTCTATTATATTTTTCCCTTTGACTACTATAATATTTGGACGGTATTCGGAGCTCAAAGTTTCAAATTATCGCGCGTGTCGCTCAGAATGTGACGACATTGTATTTCGACACGTGAATGATGTATGCAGGCAAATGTAATCACCTCCAGTTTTCTAGACTGATTAGACAGATACAAAGTCAGCGAAATCACATATATATATATATATATATATATATATATATATATATATATATGATATGAAGGTAGTCTTAATCAGTCCACGAGATTTACCTCGAATTTTAAACAACTCAATTCGATTTAATGTCCCAAAAATAATATCAATTAAATACAAATTTACTAGGTACTATCGGATGTGGCAAATTGATCGTATTGAATATCGTTAATACCGGACATCTACAGTAAGCAACTATGCACGTAGAATATGTGGTTTCCTAAAAAAATGACGCAATACATTTTTGCCAGCACAGAATTTCCTCATTGAAATTGAGCGCATCTTGAACAGACCTCGATAACGCGATCGCAAATGACAAGAAAACATTATGCAGCAACTGAACATTCGGGAAATAATACGACATGCTGATAATATAGAGTGCCTTTTACGTTACTCACAATACGAGAAGGTGTCTTCTGGTCGCTTAATTGAGCTTGGTACGACAGACTGCAACTCCATAAGCAATATGAGATCACTTGTTTACTACATAATATGTATAAATATATAAAAAAAAATAAACGATCATCATTTAAATTTTCTCTTGCGACTTTTGTTTTGATTCGTGCTTTAGGTGATAAGCGCGATCATATCAAAAACTTTTATACATGTCTACAAGCTTGCTATCGAAGTGCATTTTTCAATTTTCGCAATTCGACTAATATATTGAATCTCGTGTGAATTGGAGTACTTTGAATGTTACCATAACCTGTAAGTCCGTGCTTAATTTCCATTAATGATTATGAACGTAAGTTTTCAAAGAGCCGTCTGTGAAAAACAGCAACAAAAGTGCTTTCGTAAGAACTTCAAGCGGGAATCCAGGAAATCTCTAATGGCAGCTCTAAAAATAAATTCATTCAATAGGCGAACTTCTTTGTATGACACCTTTGCTTGAATTAAAGAGACTTTTCTTAATTGTGGTCCAAATCTATTTAGATGATGTTTCGTATTGAAGCATCGACCTTTTTGGTACTACAACAACGATGATGACAGAATTTAAAACAACGATGACAATATTCAACATGGCGAAGTTCAAGTAAACCTTAACACACTTTTTGACTGCAAAACAAGTTAATTGGCAATAGCTATGTTCTTAATTTGAAATTATTTGACTCGTTTGCGTAACACAATCCTTTACTTTAACCAACGAATAGCATATTGAATATATTCGGGAGAAATTCCATTATATTGAAACTGCTCTGGTGACGGGTGTCCACCGCTTTCAGACTTGACTAATCGAGCAATAGAACCTGATCTTCGTCACGCTCATCACATCCTACGCGCGTGGGAAGTGTTTAGAAACTACCTGGAAAATTGGTCGACCTATCAATTTATGCCGATGGCGATTAAGATCTTGGCTAACCTTTGGGGCTTTCTATTATATTACCTGCATTACACCTTTATTTTATTTAGTTTTAGAGTGAAGATTATTAAAGCTTTTATTAGATCTCATTAGTGTTAATAATTTCACTAAATTCAACATACCATCCTGAATATTCCAATTGAGCACAAGTGAATCAAAGCATCGCCCAGGAAACATATTTTCGAAAAAAGGCCGTAGAAGTTCCATTTTGGGCACCTTTCTGGACAACGTTACAGATTTCAATTGATAATAAGCTCAGAAATGGTTAGTTCTTAACCACAATTGCAACAACATGTAGAGCTCCAGGAGGTCGACGAACAAGTGGCAACAGTAATTACCACACTATCGACTCGTCTTGCCTAGGGAAAGCAGAGCTGTTTTACCTTACCACTTCCCTGAAATATATTTGATTGAAGATTAAAAAAAAAAAAAAAAAAAGAAGCATAGCATAGTTAGGTGCTGAGATAATTGGCTCACTTTTCCTTATAAAATACTTTCATGTTAAATTATGTGTCGAAACGATCGCATTAACTCACGAGGTTTTCAGTTAGCAATGTCATCCAAAGAATTTTTCAAGTTTTAGTAAAAAGTACGTATCATTCATACAAACTACTTCTATGTGGAGTTCATGTTTCGTTTACACAGGGCGCTACGAACAGACTCAGAGTAATCAGCTGCGGTGACGGCGCTTCTATTCGTTAAGCTATCTTAACTTATAAGTTGACAGAATTATGGAGGTATATATATCTCCACAATTCTGTCAACTTTAATCACGACAGTTGTTCTATTATGAACATACGTACCGAGAACACCTAAGACAGCAACTTATTTTTATATTGTGGTCTCTAAAGACCTCAAATTCGTATACGACAATGACCAAACGGCTTTTGTTGACGCTTCCGCAGGTGCAGACTTGGCTTTGTCGATAGTCTTCTTTCAACACTTAGTCATGTCACTAGAGATTTTCAGGATCACGGAAACTTACTCTAACTCCAACACTAAGCCCTCACCCAATTACCCATTTGTTCTTTCAACGAATGAATGAATCAACGGTGTGCCCCAACATCGGCGCTACTAACATTAGCAAATCACAGCGTTAACTGGGGTGCAGTCAAGCTGCCGCTGGTCCCCCCTCGACCAAAGCAGCGACAGTCCACATCACGGCTGTAAATTGACTGCCTGCCAGTGTCAAACCCGCACAAATGACTTGGCGTGTGCGTGATAACTTCAGGGATCTATGGTGATCGAAGTTCAAGTACGCGCATAGACACAACTTGTTTTGTATGGGGATCCGGCCGTCTTATAGCTCTAATGTCGACCGGCGATGCCGGACGTCAAAGCAAAACATTTAGTACTAGGCCAGGCCAGCAAGTATAGAGTATATTCAATCAAACATAGTATTGTCGGCAGTTGGATGAATGAATTGCTTGGATAGCTTACGCCGTTCAGTAACGTGAAAAATGTGTTATTTCAAATTTGCAGGTGACAGAGGTAGTTTTTTTATATCCAGCGCGTTTGGGTTTATGGTTAAAAGTTTATGGCGATAAGAATATGCTCTTAAATAAAAAAACAAGTAGTAAAGTGTGTCCTGTTTTCGTTAAATTTAAAGCATAAGTTGTGAGTAATGTTTGAAGATTCTCGTCGGTAACTGTAAAGAGGAGGATCTGTAACTGCCAATAAAGAGACGTGTGTTGAAATAGCATAAAAATGTAGAGATGCATTGTAGAATGTTGTTCTAGGTGTCGAATACAGCGATATTATTGAATCTGATCATCAAAGAATTTATTCAAATAAAATAATCTACAACGTAAATCGACAGTAATTTAATATCGAAATAATAAATTTTACAAATTCTTTGCTTCTTCTAATTATCTCATTTTTAATAGAAACATACTCAGTCGATGTATATTTTCTACCAAAAAATAATGATAATTATCACCATGTGTTATTTATTTCATTTCAAGAAAAAAGGAAGTTTCAATTTATGCTTGAATGCTTTTTTAACAACTCAATGCAGTTCTCCGATCAGCTACCTTCTTTATCACTGTTCTATTGCTCAGTGACTATGGCCCTATAAAGGGCGCACCTTTATACTTACTAACGTATGAATTCTATTTGAGTAACCTCACTAAAAAACCTAATTACGATTAGTATAGACATACCAATCGTAAGCAATTTATAAATCATATTTGCATGTTATTTTGTTCGTTGACATTTGCTTTCCTCAGACAATGTTTTGTGATGGCCTAAAGTTCACCCTTTTAGCCTATTCATGCTTAGCGGTTTTCTAAATTATAAATATAGTTTACTTATTCCTATACATATTCTTAAGCTTAATGTTACTTTTTCCAGTAATTAGAAGACAATTCATCAAAAAGCTTGAGGGCTGAAAATTGGCTGGTATCATTCTTCTGAAATTAAAATTAAACTTAAAAAGAGGCAGTCTGTAGCGCATATTCAAACTTGGCGCCAGTTCAAACACTCGCCGGCGTTCTGAATCAGCAGAGAGAAGCTTTACAGTAGACGCGCGGTCTCGTCTAACCCCCTCCCCATTGATTTCGAACAGCAGCATCAGTGACACCCTAGCCAGCGTAAGCACATATAATAGCTACTTCTCTCCACCATAGTCCTCATTCCACGTTGCTTCCTGTTGTATCTCAGTGGAGATACCAATCTTGGTGCTGCTGTGCTGTTAGCACTTTCTATTACTAATCTCAATAGCAGAAGGACATTTGATGCTAGGAATCTACGATTTATAGGAGACCAGATACAACAAACTTTTAAAACTAGCTTGGGCAAAAGTCGTTGGCGTTCCAGCAGTTTCGAAATTCGGGGAGCGTAGCACTGAAAGTGTATTGAGTTAAGCTTTATTTATTTTGCCGTGTGCTGGGGTTAGCAGTCTCAGTGGTGGTGTTTCGCCTATTAAGATGATAACAAACGTTTGTTCGAGATTAGTTCCGCTACAAGCTGGGGCGGCTATCCCTCATTTTGGTCGCGTTTGGCCAGTTCGCGCATGGTATAGTTCAACCGCGCACACTCTGCGCGTTCGAGAAGAAATTGACAAGCGTCGTCAACAGGTGCAACAGCATATGATAGATATTCGCATTTTTCTAGGTGTTGGTGGACACGGAAGAAGAACACATAGATGGTTGTGTTAATATGGATAATTTTAATTGGCTGAGCATTCTATTATAAGCAGCAGAAGCATTGATAACAAATTGTTCTATCCGATATGTAACATACCTTTTGTATTTTATGTCGGGTACAAAAGCAGTCACGCAGTTCTCCAGACGGGTGGTTCCCAGCACAAAACAAAGCGTGTCTACGTCCGGCTTTGAACCCAGATCATCATGTGTCTCCAAGTTAAACGATCGAACACATTAGCCGCTATGCCATCGCGGAAACATCTAATTAACAAACAAAGTTGGATTTATGAGAATTAGGCAACGTAAAAGAAAAAACGAATCTCAGAACCTATTGGATAAGCGGCCTCGTTTTAATTTGTTGTCGAGGCTTTAAAACTGGCTTTAGCATATGTGAAATATGTCTTCTTTGATAAGACAAGACTCAGGTACTTATTTTGTTATTTCTACACAGGCATTACTTGGCGGAGGCGAAAAAAGAATCGAGGCTCAACATAAAAAGGTTTGCTTATAATGCCACTATCAGCTTTAGTTATCATGAGTTTTCTCGTGTTCTTCGTAGGCATGACATTTCATTTTTCTCTACGGTATCTGCCCATTGGCTATTTATAACGCAGTCTATCTAGCGATTCTTTGTTGAATGTGCAGCATGATGCCATCGGCGTAATTTCTTGGATGAAAGGGTAGTAAAATATAACACGGTGCACAGATCTATAAATCTGTAATGTAAAAAAAAGGTGGCACTACTATAGCGAATTTCCTTATAAATCTTATGGTTGAGAGAATTCAATGAATTTGGTTTACCTATTCGTTATATCGTGTCAATGTCGAGTAGTAAACGGGGATCAGCGATGTAGTAGCGTTTTCTATATGCAGTGTAATAATTTAGATGTAGATCGTCGTTGAAGACTTAGATCAATGAAGTTAGATTGAAGATAGGATATGTGAGCAATTAAGATTGTTATTAGTTCTAAGTAGTGCAGCTTTTCGTAGACGCCGTTTCATGTCCGGATGAGTCTGTACGTTTCAAAATACAGGATAGTCTGGCTTTTACGATTTTTTTAGATTGACTTGTTAGAATATAAAGATCCTCAATTTATCATGCAATTATTTAGTCAATATAACGAATTTATTCTATGATATCTAAACAAAAGGCTGTCTGTTTCAGGGCAAACTTACAGCTCGAGAGCGTATTAGCCTTCTCGTGGATTCGGGTTCGTTTGTCGAATATGATCAGTTTATGGAACACACCTGCGCCGACTTCGGCATGGAAAAACAGAAGTTTGCGGGAGATTCTGTCGTCACAGGCCACGGAGAGATACATGGACGACGAGTATTCGTATTCTCTCAAGATTTTACCGTTTTTGGAGGATCGCTTAGTTCTGTTCACGCTAAAAAAGTATGCAATTGTATTGAATCGCTGAGTTGTAATTTAACATAGAGCAGTAGAACAGAAAAACGTTCTGATAACTACATCGTATTATTGCAGGTGTGCAAAATCATGGATCAGGCCACCTTGGTTGGAGTTCCAGTTATTGGTTTGAACGACTCTGGCGGTGCGCGAATTCAAGAAGGCGTCGAATCATTGGCAGGATATGCAGACATTTTTCTGCGGAACGTCACTTCGTCAGGCGTGGTATGTTGGACCCTTTGTAGAAATTTAGGAGCTGCACTCTTACGGAAGTCAGCCTTATATTTTTCTGCTGGCTGGAAACGTAGGTCAGCAATAAGCAGATGAATTCATTCGAACTGTGCCACTATGCTTTCTTTTATTGATTCGTACGCAGGTACCGCAGATTTCGGTGATTATGGGGCCATGTGCTGGCGGAGCTGTCTATTCACCAGCTATGACTGATCTTGTATTCATGGTGCAAGATACTTCATACCTCTTTATCACGGGCCCGGATGTCGTGAAGGTGACTGAAAGTTTTGTCTAGCTCATACAGTTGTGACCTGATCATAAATTATTAAATAACAAATTAGCTAATTCTCAGGTAGCTATCAGACGCTAACAGGTTCATGCGAATTTTTCTTTATTCAGTGTGGTAATATCCATGTGTATCAGGGATGAAACCGGTAATTTTAACGAACATAGAGTGGAGTAGGCATTTTTTAAATAATTTATAAATATGACATGTGCCACTAACCAGAAGTATCGAGGTTTTGCTCCTATCTTTACGTGCTTAATTTTAATACATGAAGGCGGTTACGAATGAGGACGTTACTCAAGAACAACTGGGCGGATCAAAAACTCACACGCAAACATCAGGCGTCGCGCATGGTGCTTTTGAGAACGACGTAGACGCACTTACCCAACTTCGGCGTCTCTATGATTTCCTTCCATTAAACAATAAAGAGGGTCCTCCTCGTCGCATTTGTCACGATCCCTGGGATCGACCGGTAAAATTCCCCTTTTCTTTATTAGTGTCACTCGAACGATATTTTACAATGCAAGACCAATGTTTGAATAGTAATGAGTTAACCTATAGTCATAAGGTAGAGAACGCCTAATATATCACATTCGGCTGTATCGTCGATATATATATTTGGAGTATAGTCCGAATGCCGATTTGAAACCGTTTTATTTACAGACTTAACTATATTCGTATGACTTAGGTGTACTCTCTAGATACTGTTGTGCCGCTGGAATCAACTCAAGCTTACAATATGATCGATGTGGTACTTGATCTAGTGGATGATCGTGATTTCTTCGAAATCATGCCCAATTATGCCAGGAATATCGTGTGTGGTTTCGCAAGGTTGAATGGGGAGACCGTTGGTGTCGTGGGTAACAACCCCAAATACGCTGCAGGATGTCTCGATATCAATTCATCGGTCAAGGTTCCTCCACTACATACCTTTTTATCATTGGGCTAACTAATCGCAACTCGTCATTCGAGAACATGTTTTGCTAGAAATGAATTATCTGTCATGGTATTATTATTATATTACTGTAGAACTATAACGTCTAGCCTTCGCAACAGTCTGAGTGTTTTCTCTGTTTGATTAATCCTCCTCGGTGTGCCAAAAAGGGTGCTCGCTTCGTACGTTTCTGTGACGCATTCAACATTCCAATTGTCACTTTGGTCGACGTCCCAGGTTTCCTGCCCGGGACGAGTCAGGTAAGAGTAGTGAGCCAGGCTTATCGCATTGTGCTCCGGAAAAGGAGCTTTTCTGTCATCAACGTCATTGAATTCTTAAAATATCATGCGATGTGTTCATATAATGAAGTGTAATACAAACATCTCGTTTGTTGAAGACTTTGGTATTCTTCTATGTTTGAAGTACAACAGAGCTTAATAAGTAAACTACTGTGTTATAATATTACAAATTGATAGAAGAGGTGTAATCATCGGTCGCAATTTATCGCTACAGGAGTACAATGGCATTATTCGACATGGAGCGAAGCTACTATATGCTTATGCAGAAGCAACGGTGCCGAAAGTAACTGTTATCACCCGAAAGGTTTGTGTGAATATCTTGCTACATCATTTAGGTTATCACAAGAGCATCTATAAATGTAAACTTTCGTCTGTATTTTGTGCCTGTGAAGACTACGTCAGTTCACTTAGTAGCAAGCAGTAGCGTTCATCGATATTTAGTACAGTTATAGCTGTTATCTTTTAAGTCCATCGGTACAGATTTGTAGTTCAATACAAGATTTGTTTGCTGACCAGCACATTTGACGTGACTTTAAATAAACGTGAATTTAATACGGAAGAGTCCTATTATGTTAATTTATAAAAATTATTGCAGGCATACGGTGGCGCTTATGACGTGATGTCGTCTAAACATCTTCGGGGAGACATAAACTACGCATGGCCTACGGCTGAAGTTGCTGTCATGGGCGCTAAAGGAGCTGTGTCTATTCTTTATCGCGGCTCAAAGGACGTTGCTAAACAGGAACAGGAGTATATCAATAAATTCACCAACCCGTTTTCCGCTGCTATCCGCGGCTTCGTCGATGATATCATCGAACCCAACACGACCCGGATGAGGATCTGCAGGGATTTAGCTATGCTTCGCGATAAAAAGGTCAACAACCCGCCGAAAAAACACGGCAATATCCCCTTGTAATTGTGCCAAAGAGAACATTGTGAAACATAAACTGCGTAGAAATTTGCCTATTTCATATTTATAAAACTGTTATTCAACCAAAGACGGAAACGTTATTATTGGTTAACTGTACGTCGTATCTAAAACCTTATTTTAAACAAAGTCGTCATAATTGTATTCTTGCTATGGTTCTGTGATAAGGCGAATGTCTATTTGGCCTGAGTTGTGCAGCTTGCTAAACAACGCATATTTGCCATGAGAAAGTAGTACATGTAGGTGGGTCTTCGAAGAATAGGGTCTTTTGAATTCCCTGTTGTATTGTTACTTGTCACATGAACGGAGTCGCATGAAAGAACAATCAAGAGGTGGTTACAGATATTGTACAATCACTACGTATAATTCTAGATATGCTCAATAGGCTTGTTTTTGTATATTACTCTAAAACGTTAACTGCTTACTGTAAATTACAGCAGTAGATAAATGACGCTACTTTTACTCTTTTAGACACACTTTTATCTAAAGTGTGTCTAAAGCAACTTAGTTTGTTGGACGAATTTTCAACATGCGCAACTCGTAAAACGAAGATTTTTTCAAACGAATATTTTGCTGCATTTTTCATAGGTAGAGTGCAAATTACTTTCACGTAAAATGCAAACGTTTTTATAGAGAATAAATTCACACTGCATTTAACTTACTAGTTTTATTTATTTATTTTTAATTATACAGGATATTTTCTAAAATATGGCGAATGAAACATTATGCTATCATGGTCAGGTAAGTAAATTGCACAGATTCCGCACTCAGCGTTCAGTGCAATCTTAATTAACATTAACATTCGTTCTTACCTTCTATTTGTCTTTGTGTAGGGTTAACAAACTCAATGACAAAGTGACTTTTGAATAGTTTTTTTTCGGATAGTGATTCTTTTCCGCAATGAATTGCTTTCTTTCTTGACAGATTATGGGAATCCTATGCGGAACGGCCATACTTCTCTGGATCGAATAAATATATACTGGATAATTTTTATACTCATTTTTTTTATTAACGTGTACAATACTTGCAACATCACCGAGTATGTTCTATCTAAACATTCGGCAAAAAACGTTTGGTCAGAGTTTTATTCTCATGATTATGTTATAGTCATCCGTAATTGATTTTAATTATCCGTTCACATACCTAATAACAGATATAATATATCAAATGATTCAATCAAAATAATTAAATATACTAAATCGAAATTGCTTGATCCATGTTAGCGTTCGATACCCGAAATGAAGAAACGTTAACATCTTTGACACGATAACTTCCCGAAAGGTGGTCCCGTCCACATTAATATTTTTTGACTGACAGAAATCAATATAACCTCAACTAATGTAGTTTCACTATACATTATATATATATATATATATATATTTCAGCTTATAATATATAAAGTGAAATTATATCTGGGGAACAGTTTCATAGTTCTTAGCACTAGTAATTATACTTGTTTTGACTACTAATTAAAACTTTCGTACACAACACAAAGTTAGCTCAGAATTATATATTGCCGACCGGCGTACGCTAAATAGACGAACTTCTAAAAAGCCGTACTGCTAATTTTGTCTTTTATTATGCAGAGCTGCCACAAATTTGACTGCTACACATTGAGATAATTGCTCGTTATTGTTAATCGAAAAATAGCTAAATCACCTTCTACAATTTGTTCTAACAGGAAATGCTACTGAATTGTTAATTGTATCCAGTTGGTGTTTTTAAAGGCGTCTCCTTATAAATGTCAACCTGTGACAGAAAAACTCGTATGATGGATACAGTGAGGACAGGAGACAAACCTTATTTTTTTTTTCTCTCACATCCATTGTCCTTATTTTTAGTGTCAGCGCAGCATTGTTATTCACTAAGATGCCCCAAATTTCTTTCACGATCTCCGCTGTTCAACTTTGGCAGGCTGCGTACAGCGGCAATTTTTTTTATTGGGCCCCGTTTCGGATCCAGGACTCGTTGATTCGGTAAAATGTTTCCTCTGAAGTATAAAAGTAGTTATTGAAATAATGAAATAGTTCCTATTACATACAAAAAAGAGGAGACAAAAAGGAGAAATGCCTCCGTTCAAATGTTTTACGACTTTTCTAACTGAAAACCTATTTCTATGCCTGCTCGACTTCGGTCAGCAACTATAGGAAGCGCATATATAAATAAGAACAACCGCGTAAGGCCTTTGATTTAAGCAGTACATACAGCAAAAATGTACGCACTTTCGTTTGCTGAACATAATGTAGTCGTTACTGATCATCTTTACTTTCGAGCGCAATGTATCCAAATTGGCCATCGCATCCTACAACAGATCAAAATAATATGATTTTAGTTAGAAAAAATCTGTAATTCGGACCGAGCTGCGGAATACAAGGATAGGCATGATACTATGTAGTCGTTCTAAGAAAAAACGATTCCAGATATACTGGTTGAAAGTCGCTTTCATAGTTAAAACTTTGCAAAGTAATAGCTTTCGTCCGAGTTGTAAAAAGGATGCTTCACATCAAAATTTTATTATATACGTGTGTTAAAAGTTAATATAATAGCACGCAATTAATTTAACGATATGATCGGCGACTAATGTGGATATTGACACCTACGTGTATTTCTGTGTGATACGTTTTTCGCGCTTCATCAAATTTATGGAAAGCTTTAGATTCTTGATCGAGTCGCCACTCGTGATCTTTGATGTCACTGCATAGGTTATCCCGTTCTTTTTCCAGCTGACGAAGACATCGTAGAAGCTGTGCCTACAATGCCATAAACAGAATTACATTACTACTACCGTAACATAAACGGTAATGAATTTGAAAGGGTACCCGTAAAAAGAAGTGATCACTATCTATTGTTAAGCTTACACCGTTAAAGGGTGTTCTTCACGGCGTTAGGTAAGATCGATCGCTACCTTCGTACGCGCTTTATACTGATTCTAAGCGCATTGTGCAACAAATGTTTTAAGAAACTTGTTGATTCGGAAATGAAAATTACATTGTATAGGTTGGGGTCATAAAGTTTACGGTAGACACTTACCTCAGAAAGTGTATCTAGCTCTAGGCCCTGGAGACCGGCCAAACCAGGTCGGTCAATTTCACCGGCTACCTGTTCCCTTAACCAGCCTTTCTGCTGGTCAAGTTGACGATTCAGCTCAACCTAATTATAGAAGATATTCGTAACTTAATACTCATTTGCCTGCCTGCCTGTATTTATAGCCGGAGCCTATTAGAAGATCGGCAAAATGGGCCAAAAAAATAGAATGCTGACAAATTTAGCAAAACGAACATATCCATAAGACTGTGAACATTAGGCGTCAAATTACATATAAAATCAATTGTACTTATAATCAATCCAAGGGTATAAATCTGTAGGGAACACTCATTTCCTAAGATGTTTATTTCCAATGCCGTTAACTTTTGTTAGATATATATAGCATTTCATTTTATGGTAAGAGCATAATACGAAGAGTACGATCTGGGAAACATGTTTTCGTTATTTAATTGGATCGCAGAAAACAGGCCGTCTTTGCTGTACATCACTGTCTGCTCCGATTTCTAATAATGCAACTACGGCTGTTATTTAATAATTTGTTCAACGGTTATACGTTGTATAACAGGTAAGCGTATCCTCTTATTTGGTTATTACAAAATAGAACCTCAATAAAAAAATTCTAGCTCTTAATTAGCACGAGCTTACTTTGTCTTCCGATATACGCATTCTCAGCGAAATTATAGTGATAAATCGATTGCAATCAGCTATGCATAGGCGAGTGCCGGCGGCTTCAGCAGGCCCTGTTGCCATTCACTTAACCTGAGTGCTTCAAAGCATATTAATATTCATAAGGGTTGATAAACAACGTTAAGTAACTGCAGCTAGGGGAAGTCGCAGTGATGGATACAAATTGTTATACACGAAAATGTTCATATATAGTATAGAATGCACAAAAATAATATATATGCTTATATGTAAACTTCTTGATATGCAGAAGAATAATTTTAGAAATAGTAACGTCCCTATGCTAATAGAATATACTTCTTCGTACTGGCTAAAGCAAAACAACTGCCCCTAACCTGTGTCATGTATCGAAGCTTCCATTCGTTAGCATCACTGGATGTATCATACGAACTGCGCGCTTCTAACTGTGATACTGAATGCTCTAGATCACGAATCGACTGTTCCAATATGTGCCTAAAGGATTTCGAGTTGGAAGTTATAATCAAAGATGAGATACTTTATTGAGCTTTTACTAGAGCCAAACTAACTAAAACACCTGGCACATTGTCCTAACCCAAAAGAAAAACAGGCTCTTTATTAGTCAAAGTTAAAATTTGTCACCGACCAACCTCATACGAATTAGAGAAAATATCATCCATAATTTAGTTTTAAGTAAGTCGATAAATTTCTACGCGAGTGATCTTCGCGTACAGCTGCAAAATCGCAGATCAATCAGAAAATGTGGCTTAAACATCCTCACAACAAGAGCTTAATAGACTTTGCTTTTGTAAAATTTGACCCTTGATGACATCTGCGGCTCCAGTTTGATGAAGGTCTTACTCATAATCAGTTAGCAAAACAATTCTAGCTAGTTTAGGGTAGTCTCGTTTGAGGTAATGATCTCAATAGAAGTAAATCAAAATGAAAGCTTCTTGGCTAAAAAGAGGGGTAAATGTGATTATTCACGACAGGACAAAAATTGTAAAATGTACAGTTGTTGTACGATTAGGGTACAACTTAACATTTAGTGAGCCTGTAACGGAAATTGTTAACTACGAGATGTAGCAATGCAAATTAAAAGATCTATCTGTTCCATTCGCTGATAATAGAGGGTTACACTTACTTGAAACGTTGTTCGCGGTCAATCTCCTCGAGAAGACTTTGATGCGAATTCATCATGAGGAACATCGAGGCAACTACGTATAATCACAAGCAACAATAAAGTCACACGCGGACAATACGGTAAATTGGAGCAACGCAATTAATTATCCGTAACGAAATTTCATTAGAATCATTGTTAATCGCAGGAAGAATTCTATAAAAATATATCTATAAATTCACAGACACAGAGAGACATGTACTACAGTGGGACACAGATAGAGTAGATCACTTAATTTTGCAAAAATATACTCTTGTACGCATGTATATACAGGTGTACTTATCGTCTAGCGGACATACTTTGAATTTGACAATTGTAGTCACACAACTGGTACAGAATTGGCTTTTGAGCTGCTGTTATCGAGGCGCAGAATGTCAAAACTAGAATTCAATGCCCCTTTGGGTAGTGTACGATGGCTCTCAGCGAAACACGTTCACTTAGCTTTGACTAGTCTGCAACGCAATGCACTAAGACACCAGTCCGCCTCGAGGTCCTTGAGGCAGGCAGCTTCTCGTCTGTTGACCTGCATCCAGGCTCCAGTCGAAAAGTTATAGAAAATCTGATCAACTATTATATACCTACGTCTACTTCGAAATGCCCCAGAGTGCAAAAGAACACATACTCTATCTGAATCAGATGTGTCGGCATGTCAAGCTGGACACAGACGAAAGGAAACTTGTTTGTGTTGGATTTCCATCGCTGATTTTCAGAACTTATCGATATGATGTAAGCTTGCAATTCGAAGGCTAACAGGAGGCTCCGTGCGGCCAGAGGGTATAGATATTCTCTGTCGGTGACAAGTGAGTGGCCGCGGGTGAGGTCGCGTTGCCACAACAACCCGGCTATACTACAAAGTCTGCTGAAGTCAGACATATTTTATGTAATTGTCAGACAGCAGAGCCTGTATAAGGCAACCCTGCCTTTAACTCCAGCAGCGGCAGGTGCCGGAGACGGAAGTTTTCAAGGTAGTTCAGTGAATGGCACACGGAAATAGTATTCATTAACATAATACTAACCACATAACTACGCGAATACAACCGTGATCGGATGGTGTTTGGTGGTGGATCGTTGGTGTTGTCACAGCAGACGTTGTGAATACAATCGTATACTTATCTTACATTCGTTTAGAAGCTAGTAGGTGACGAACCTAGGTCGTCTATATCTTCGGTCTGTCTTTTTTATCAAGTGAGATAAGTTGTGCATTTTGAGTTTAGGGAAACATACGATTTGAGTATCCCTCCTCGTACGTAATGAAGTACTGCTCATTGAACAAAGGAAACATATATTCAACTTCAATGCTTTCTTCTTTCACATGTTTCGTAAACATAAAGCATTCAGTTAAGTGGTAACAAGTGATTTGTGTCGACATTAAATGTCCCCTTTAACCATAAAATCTTTTTTTTATTATTTCTAAAAAAATTAACCATAAATCAAGTACAATAACTATCTCACTGCTTTGTAAATTCGTGATAAGGAAATCTAAATGCAGACGCTAGTAGAGTCTATGCTCTCCTGAACATTACTGGCACGCATGGTCCGTACCGTTAAGTAAAGTAAAGGTCGATACCATATAATTTTTAATATTTATGATACGCTAGTGCATCTGGTTAAAATATCGTTTAGTAAAACATATATAGATAGTCTAATAAAGCTATGTTCGGTACACTTACATGTACCATATAAGGCATAGATAATATAAAAAAAAGCGTTTTTAAGAAAATAGTGGCCAACGCAAGTTGACATTGTCGTTGATTTAGCTCAATCGTAATACGTGCGCGAACGATCGAAACAAGTTCCTATTTCGAAGTTTTTATCTGTACAGTTAGAACGCCCCATGTATACTAAAATATTCGCAGTATTCCATAAAAATTACAGTTCTAGAGCAAACAATTTAACTACAATATATATACATTGATTTGCGAAATACAGATAGGCTTAGATGGATTTAGAAAGAGGAAAATCGCATGCTGCAATCAGGGCGAAAAATTTTTAAAAAAATCCAGTTATACGATCGCGTCATAAAGAAGACAGACAATAGCGACAATTTTAATCATGAACCAGCCAGCTGAGTTAAACAGCTGTAGTTAAATGAGGTTCTTGCTACTAATAGATATCAGTCTTTGGACAATCGATGTCCTTGAATGACCTTCATCCGTTCTACACCTACTAGAGGTACAAGTACGAATAATTTCACAGTGGTCGGTTTAGCAATACGAGTCGCTTCATTAGGTAACGGGGTCGTCACGGATACGCCTTGAGCATGCTGATTATAATTCATAAGAGTATAACAAGGTCGCGTTTTTATGTATGGATACACCAGGAAAATCAGGCAGAAAACATTGGTCGGTTAGAAGGCTAAGGCATATTTTTGGGGTTAAGATGCGTATGCCCTATTGAGAGAAAGAATGAATAAACATTAAGAAGGAAATATAATCCTATATTTTTGGTTCGTGCTTTTGTTAAATTAGCTTCGACTATGCCTTTTATGTCTAATATGCTCTGATATTTTTTGGTTTAATTTTTTATTGAAAGTAGACCAAAAATAATTGTGCTACTCTGTTTGATTGCATTTAGCTTCACCATTTATTCAAGCACTCCTGAAAGTAGTTGCTTACCCATTATCTCGTCCCTTTGGTATATGTCTTTGCTCGAAGGTAATAAGTAAAGGTAATTCTTGTTCTTAAAACACCCAGGTGCAGTTTTTATGAACCAAAATTAAGATGTAAACGTCACTCAACAAAATACAGCTTTTACAAAAAAAATACGGGCGTATTACATGTAACTTCAAGTTAGACCTTCTGGCGCCAAAAATTAGCCGTCCCCATTTCTGACTGCGAAGAAGAAGAACCTCCCAAAGACTATACTTTCCACTAATAATCGAAAGGGCTCAACCCGGGAACCCCTACACCAAATCAGATTGGCGAGATCAGTATCGTTTGTGTAGAAGACCAACATTCGTCTTATGCACCTTTGTGTCACTAAAAGTGTAATTAGGCATCACGAATGTACCTAGATAGATAATGTTTTGCATATGGAAAACCTATTAGCACAGTCTACTCGCTGGTGGTCTAAATTTAACCAGGATTAGGGAGGAATCAGTTAATCGAAGACGTACTATATTCAACAGTCCATAAATTACTCTGGATCGCAAGTGTCTTGGCAAATGGGCTGTTGCAAAAAAACACCAGGAAATAAGTGCAAAATGAAGTTGGAAAGCATAGTTATAAGGAATCATGTGTGAGTCCTCATAATTGCTTAGATTTTTTTTCTAACTTATTTACTTTATCTAGATAATGAATCGCTTATTTCTATGGCCTTCGTCGCTACCTAACGAACTGCCGTCGCCTCCGCTGTATCCACGCCCTTCATTATGGCGTCAAATTGGATTGATACGAAGAGAATGGCTTCGTTCGTCGCTAATGAGAGATGTAGTCAATTGTATGTAATAGATTCATGAAATTTGGTACTTAGGTGCCTACACTATCAATATAACATCACCGATTGTTATGTGCGAGTGTTGTGAAAGCTGACAAGTGTCCCAATAGTGACGCTATCCAGTTGACATTGTTAACTTGATTTTGATAGAACGACTGGCTTGTCCGCCAATAAAAACGTACCCTGTCTTGCATTATTGTATATACTGAATCGCGAGTCGACCACATCTGGGTTAGGACGGCTTTGCGTACCGACCACAGCGCTCGTATTTAATATATAACCATGTTGGTCACATCTTGAAATTTTCGATGAAAATATAAGTGTTTCATTTACTGTTAAAATGATGTTGTATTTACCGGCACCAGCAAAGTCTGTACATTGCGGTTCATTAAGTGTCGGGTATGAAATGTTTACCGCGAATCAGAACGTATTGATTAAGGGGTCCTAATAGAAATTGAAACTTTACAGCAATATACACTTCGTTCCGGGCTCAGGGTTACAGAGTTACATCGCTTGACGTCCGCGATCGTTTAATGCGGTTAAAATACCCATGACAATATACCGTCTATTTTTTTGTTTGTAAGTCAAAATGAATTGTAGTGTTTCTAGTCCATACGGCGTCATCGTCTGACCATGCGTTAATTCAAAGGCAGGACGCCGATAGGGGCTAGCAATGATGTTGTGTATTATAAGGGAGCTAGCTGGATAATCGTATTTCAATTACTGAAGCACGTTCTGCTAACTCTGTGGGCAGTAGGGCCATTTAAAGTGTACTCGCCACCTCGAGAGGTGTGGATTCGTGTGAAGCGAATAGCAGTTAAAAAAACGCACGCAAAAGATTCAGCTTTACGTCTTCATAGTCGCCGAGACGTTTATAAATTATGCAGAAAATCGCGACCAGCCATCAGCGCTAACAGGAAGGATCCTCTTATTAAATTAGAAAACAAATATTGGTGAACCGAACTTCATAAAAATATAACTATGCTTTTCATCAATAATTAATTTTCTATGATTCTTAAGAACGTTACACGAATTTTTTTGTCTTGTTCAGCCGGAGATTTTACTTACTTGACAAACGTGTTCTATGACGGTAAGTCAAAATCTGGTTAAGATTATCCGAATGGTTACTGAGCTAAATAGATAGAAAAGGTTATACCTAACTTCAGGCTTTACATTGGTCAAGAATAAGTAATCAGTAGGAATTCTCGGCAAATTAGCTATGCTGCCTTATAAATTACATATCGTCATAGATAGTATAATATTGATTTTCTCACATTCCCTAAAAACCTACTACGAAACGGAAGAAAAAGTTAGGACAAGTAACTGTAATAGAACCGAGCTGTATAATACCTCGAGTATGCGTAGATTGTTCAATATCTAACTGTTGGGCTAATAAAGTTAAAAAAAGTACACAATGTTAAAGCTCAAATTATTTAATGCATTGTTGTTTATTGGGTTGATTGTATTAGAAGTTTCTCTTCGCTAGCTTCTTCTTAATCTTCGCACCTTTAATCTTCTTGATTCCATTTTCATCTACAGTTTCGTCTACATTTAGTCTTCCGAAGTCGTCCTTATGCGATTTTCTGTCCATGTATATATATATGTATGTATGCACGAGCACGTTTCTCTTCTGAACCTCTTCCTCGTCTATTTTGACTTGAATTCTCATTATAGTAGCATTTTGCTGCCCTTTACCTCTGTCCATTGCATTTTGTTATTGCTTATTATACATCATTTACAGGATTGTATTCATGTTTAAATTTTGGTGTTTCTTCTTTGAGATACGCCCTTTTTTAGGTTCGCGCACCCTCGCTTGTTGATGAGGGAGAATCCTTCGATCATTGCTCCACAATAATATATACTTTTTGTGTTTTTTTTTGTACGGCTTGATTTGATCTTAAATAGTTACACATTTTTCGGATAGCGAGCGTTGTGTATTAATTATGCCCCTATTCGGTACCCCGTTTTTTGCTAACATTTGATACGACTGGAATTACTTATGCACCTTCCTGTTTTTCACCGCGTTTACATAACCACAATATTGGCAATTATTTATATTTTCGATTGTGCCACTAAATTTGTACAAGTACGTTCAGAATTATATATTATTTTCATTCTTCCTGCTCAAGAATACTCTTTGCACTATGTCCACGAACCGAAATTGATCATCATATATATATATATATATATATATATATATATATATATATATATAGTGAATCTCCGGTTGATTATAGCAGTCGTTATGATGATGATGATAGTGGGAGCAACGAAGATGCTATTTTTATCTTCAAATGTTACAGGGCTATGCACTATCGCCGGTCTATTGGATCTACGTGGATTGGAGATTTATTCATTCAATTCAAGGTTTCGTACAAAGTTCACCCGGCCACGTGCATCGCATGTTGCACGCGGACGAGAAGAAGCTGCTTTGGGGTCACCTGTGTGTATTAGATACACACCTCACCTGGTCCTCCGATCGCAACACCGTTTGTTTACCCACAAAAAGTACACGTGATCATTTTCTGTATCAACATGTGTTATGGTTGTACCAGAAGCTATTTGGAGTACAGTTGTTTACTAATTTATATTAGCACAAATTGTTAATATTACGTCATCTATTGTTATTTCATTATATAATAACAATAATAACACTATGATGCTTGCGCAGAAAATGGTTTACTAGCATCCGGCTTAGGGTCCTACTGGCAGTTGTGGATATGCTCTCGATGCAATAGTCTTATCGCTTATACCGGATATGCAGGGATGTGAATACTATTGATTTTCAATGAAGTCATCAAGTCGGACGAGAACTTGTACCAATTTTACATTTGGTTTCACTTACCGTGTTTGTAAGAGCATGTTTGCCTATTAGTGCCTTAAGGTTGAACGTTTGCGCGCACATCAGAACACGCAGCTACGTCAGACTAGTCGAAGCATGTGCCGTGTACAGGTTCTACTACAAGTTACTATCGTGCAATGCACGCAAGTGATCTTGGTACTCTAAGGTTTTTCTACTATTTGACGGTGTGTTTATATATATTATCAATAATAATGTAAACCGTCTTATTTCGGAACAACGAATGACGAAGTTAGCGTTTTTAAGGCACCATAAGGCTGCGGCCTGCCTGCTTCCATTACAACCCCACAACGCGGCTTCCCGCTCGTGTACATTAGACGGGAGGTGGAACATTAGTCGTGAGCAGAAAAATGACCTAGCAGAATATATAGTATTACGATTACCGTATCTAGCATTGAGACTGTTACTAACATTTGTGTGTTTATTATTTTCATATTCTAGTGATTATTACTGTTATTTCCACTGTCATTGTCGTATGTCCGTTAGTATATTATAGTGTTTACGTTGCATAGACTAGCTCGCTCCTCGCTAATGCATATCTCTTATATATATACGAGTTATAGGCTTGTGATAACAACAAGGCATTCATTGCGTTGTTGGATGATTAGTTGAAAGCTTTAATGATCGTCTGCTGACTACGTGCGGAAAACTGCGATGAGCTCATAGACAGAACATATGAAGGGCCAGGTAAGTGCTCCCGTTAATACCACGGCCTTGAGCGCTACCTTGCATAGTAGACATCGTTATATAATATATACCCCTCTTACATACAGATGGATTGCATTGGTTCGCCAGTCAAACATGGCCGGCCATTTCCTTCTTCAGATTTGTGATACTAGCTGTCATTGTCATTCCTACAAGCAGAAGATTTTGCCCCGTCGACTCTATATGTGTTATGTCGAAATGTAGGTCGATATTCGAACAGTGTGTTGTTAAAACGTTATCGTTTCCAGCGTAAATTCGGTTCTACGATCTCTCTGAATCTTCATTTGTAGCCGTTTATGAGTTTTATTCTATTTACAAGTTGCACCTCATCCGACCTTATTATTAGGACCAGTCATCTTGTGCCTCACATAACGCGGTCATATTCAGCATCAGCACCCAGTGCATTTATGTACTTCGTACATATGATTAGGTACACACAAGGCACGCGGACGGCTATTAGAAAGAGAAATCGTTTGGTACACACCTTCCAAGTTCGATTGATTGACAATAATGGACTAGTTATTAGAATACCATTGTTTGTTCCTTAACTTTATTTAACCAATGGCGTATCTTGTACGCCGTGTTTGTTACGACGTGTATGTTTTGGTACGACTTAGAAAAGTTCTACGTCATATTTCGATCAAAATTGTCAGCTAAAACTTCCAAGTTAAGCTGGAATTGCTACCAACAACCTTTGGTAAGTCTCTATGTGAACTTCATTACGATAGTTTGAATTTAGTTAATAATTATGTAATAAGTACAGTGCCAAGGTTGCAAGCAAAGCTTATCGCTTAAGTCACACTGATAGAAAACCATATTGCAGTATCGTTGCCCTGCGCACAGGTCGCGATGTACAAACCAAATGTTCTAAGGTCTCCCTTACGGTATCAATAGTACGTAATTTCGTATTGTATCATAATAACATAAATAGAAACGATTTAGATTTTAGTTTCCTTCGTCCAATGGATCAATACCGATTCTAGTACAGAAGACGCTATTACGACAGGCGCACAATAATCTGTATGTAGAGTTATACACACATACATACACGGGTTATACAATGTACCAACATCTCTGTATGTGCACTACTGAAAAAAAACTCCATAGTGCGTTATACAGACTTCTTAACTTTGCAGAAGTTACAAATATCATGTACGATACATGTGGACTCGTCACGCATCGTACGGTTTTCACTAACTGCGGTTCGAGAAGCGTGATTGTCAATTTCAGATTTTTAGTGGCTGATATTTATCAGAAGACTTCTGGTAAAAGTTTAGACCTCTAGGTCATTTTTTAGGGGGTGAAAGTTCTTGAACCTTTATGGGAAATTTTCTTTATCTGAAAAATAAAAAAACTAAACTAGGGAACTTCGTTTTTCGAAAGTTAAAAAAGTCATGCCGTCAAGTGAAACAAGATTTGCCTGCCAGCCCGCCAGCCATCCATTCATTCGGCCGCTGAATCAAACGCTGAGAGTCGATTATGTACAACAATTTACGTGTCATTATGAAGGGATCCACTGCTTCAAGGGTTGATTAATTCAATTTCACTACTCAGATGAGACAGCTCCGCGATAGTTCTACTGGGTAACGGTATTTGCCTGCTAATCCTATCTCATGGTCTTGGCTTAGACATAGGCCCCGGCATAGGCATACATCGTTTCGTGCTGGAAACCAGGCATGTTGAACGACGATGCGAGACGTAATACATTTGATTCAAACCACGTAAAAGACGTCTAGCGTTCCAACCCAATCGAGATCAGTGTGAACATTTACGTTTGAAAGGATGATCTGCCGAATCCGTTGAGCTTAAATAACAAATTCACCTTTCAAAGTCTCACACAGGACGCAACCTAGTTAATAAAGGGGGAAGGAGGCCATTGACAACAGAGCCATAGAATAGGCATTGTTTGCCCCCACAAACGTTTATAAAATATGCAAAGAAATAAACGTTGTTAAATTAACGTATGAAACCATCGTTAAAATTCGTACAATGGTAAGTTTTCTTTATCTGAAAAATAAAAAAAACTAAACTAGGGAACTTCGTTTTTCGAAAGTTAAAAAAGTCATTTCCGGTTGCTTTCAGGCGTCCAATAAGCGAATTATAAATCCCTGCCCTCATGGCTCCCAGCATGTGTTTTCAGAATTATTTCTTATATTGGTACATTGTACGATGAAGTTCATTGTCCCTGTTAAAGTGGCATCTGCTGTTATTTTAAAGGGCATCGATGTATTTCTAGCCCCTTTTTGTATCCTGTAAACCTGTGCGTTAGGCTTAGCCTCTCATGCGCAAACTTGGAAACAAAAACTTGCACCAGTAATATTCACACGAATTGTGCCAGAAGTTTGGCCTAGGCCCGCTTCTGACAACAACAACAATAGCAGCAGCAGCAGCAACAGCAACAACAACAACAACAATAACAACAACAACAACAATAACAACGACAAGAAAATAGTTAGCTTGCACTCTCATGATATAGCGTTTCAGCCGAAAATACATGACGGGTGCTGAACGTTTAGGAAGGATAGATTGCGCATAAAAGGTCATAGTGAAATAGCAGAGACGCACGCTCTCTACGTTAACGTTTCGTTTTCATTTTTCTAGAATAAATATTTGATTGTATGAACATATATTAATTAAATAGACATTAGAGAGATACTCGTATTTTGTCTCGGTGCGAACAGTATAGCTGGTATAGAGCACGTGCTTCCTATTCAGCATAACCAGGTCTAATATTGCTGGAATACCATTTGTTACTATATTGAAGGTTGGATTCAGACTCAGCCCAGGTTGGAGCCCAAATTTTCTTAACGAGCTGGCAATGATATATGTTCCCATATGATCCGTAGCTTGGATCCATCATAGCCTGTATTGAATATGCACACATTATCTAGCTTAGATAGCTGCACCCCACGAGCTATAAGAAAACTACCGTTTAAAACTGATTTCTATCAAATTTTCGGTACTATAATCTCTTGCTTCCTTAAGCAACGCCTCAGGCGGTTGACGTCACCAAGCAGAAATCGTAGATTAACAACATATGCATATATATATACGTACGATAGATGAAAGTGGCATCAAATATAGGATTGCATACAATCTCATCGGCGCTTATTCGGGAAAACGATAACGTATCGTAATGAAGTGCGATCAAGCGCATCGCCTACGACTCAATATCGACACTTCACTGCGTTCACTTATATAATTATTCCCTGATATTCTTTTTCGATTTTTCTCTTGTGCTTTTTTTTTACGAACGCACTGCTGTCGTTAGTTGCTGAGGTGTGCAGTATATACAGCTAAATCGGAGTTCTCTGATGGACTGCTTGTTTGCCTTTTCACTATATTCGCCTATGGACGTGAATATATGCACGGTTAAATATGTGATATACGTGATTCATAGCCACACTCCGTAAGCAACAATGGTCAGCAACACAGTAAACGGCACTTTTTGCCCCATACAAACCACACTCGATGCTTTAATTATAATTGATAAAGAACACTTTGAATAGCTGATTAGAACGCTATAAGACTTTATAAATATTTTAGATTCTACATAAGTATGTTATGTTAGATTAGTGGTGGTATATTTTTCCCACGTGGGCTGAATAACGAATGCCGCTCGTTCATTGCTAAATTATAACGATGATTGTTTGATGAGGGTTTAAATAGCCGAATACGTAAAATGGTCCGCTTGCGGTTTTCTGACAGCTTCCATCATCAAATGGTCATTGCAAAGACGATAAGGCACAGGTTACTTGACGGCGAAGAGCTTTTTTGCCAACGGTTATCGGAGCGGCGTAGAAGCGCGTCAACTGCGTTTCGCGCATGCTCAGTTGTTATGGTTCTCAAAGGAAAAAACAATGTGATACTGGCCGTATCACATAGAGATTAGTTGAGCGTGCCAATCTCGAGATGTTTCGGCGCCATTGGGGATTTAACGCTACTGGACGAGTCCTCCGATCATTGGTAATTCCTCTGTTGACTAAAGGCTACGGACAGGATGACGGTGAAGGCACAACCTCTTATTTACTTCACTTCTAAAGGTTGCAGGAACCTTTTTGTGTTAGCTAGATACATCTGGACAGTCTTAACATGATACATCTGCAACGAGATATCGGAAAATGTTACAACATTTGCCAGTCCTTAGAGCTTTACTATAAAATATAATACGCATTGGATCTCGATGAAACGAGTTTCCTCAGCTTGTCAATTCTGTGTAGTACAGTAAAAAAATCAGACGAAAATAGAAATAAACAAATATCAAATAAATTACGAGAGAAATTGCCTAAGTTAGAGTAGTAAAATAGCAGTATAACTTTTTAAGCGCTGACGCTTGAAAAAAATGGGGATCTCTATTCGCTTCAACCTATTTGCGGTAAAGAGGCTCACCATAAAAATACCTTAGCATAATATTACGAATATATCTATTAATGCCAGTGATTCGATGCATTCTGCCAAATTTGAAATGTTGTTCGATTGGAGCCTATTGAAACTGTATAGCCATCACCTTCAGACGGAATATCGGTGATGTTTATGATCTCTTCGACGTTCTCCTCTGTTGCAACCCCTTCATCCAAAGTCGATTGCAGAACTCTCAATTGTTCAACGAGTTCCCGATTGGTTTGTTCAAGTCGCTCGTAGCGCGATCGCATTTCCCGCTGCTGTGCCGTCAGGATTTCCACTCTATGACAAAACAAAATAAGAACGTTAACTTATTGTTAAGGTCCTACAAGAAACTCCGCTAGAAAAGATTGACTCCGGCCAAAATTAATGACGGTAATGAAATTCGAACGATCGTTACTTATAGCAAGATTTATGATAACGATTTAACTAAGAACGCGCTGTAATCGTTGCTCAATGGGCCTATGGACTTTGGCTGATTAGTAATATATTGTACTATGTGTGCTGACGAAAAAGTGAGCTTCATTGTTTACGAACTTCATTGAGAACCAATCGATATAAATTCATTCACCTCTTCTCTAAGGCGTCCATGTATTCCTTTTTCTTGCGGCGACTCTCCTGCGCTGAAATCTTATTTTTGATCTTTCGGCGGATCTTCTTTAACGATCGCTCCTCAGCTTTTGATAGTGGAAGACGTGTGGGAACAGGGTAACCCTCAGCGATTAACGTCCGCTTTTCTTCTTCGGTTAGCAGTAATGCACCCGATCGTGATCCGGCCATTTGACTAAGCAAAAAAAAAAAAGATGATGATTTGTAAATAAAGAATCGCATTCTTTCTGAGACGCAGCCGTATTTTAGGGCTAATAATAGATAAATTCAGAAACTAAAAATACTTCCCATCGCTCTCTCATTGTATTTGGTAAAACTGAAACCATAATCTTCCGAGGACACGACAAGCCCTATCGCAATAAAAAAGATTTGTTTTTTATCGATTTTATTTGAGTTGCAGGCCACAGCAGTACGTTTGTTCGCATGAGAGTGACACAGATTTCTTTAAAAAGCTATCCTCTTTTATGTTTTTTGTGAGAATACTATAGCAGCTGTTGTTTGTACCTTGAAAGTAACTGTGATGTTAGTTGAGCTGAAATTGCATTCGAAGGCGGTGATTTCTTGCATTTCTGTGAAGCCGTTACGTGTTGGCTATGGTTACCGCCAATGACGCCCTCTGGGGTTGCATGCGGGTAAAGGCTTTCATCGCTTTCGGAGTCGTTCGAAACGGACGACGGTGGTGAGGGCGGAAGACAATTGAGGCCTGCCAAATTGCATAAAATAGGATTTTAAGGATTAAAGAATGTTTGTTTGTTTCTTTTTCTAAGAACGAAGCAGATATTAGTAAACAACATGTCAGCAATTCTAGCTCCTTTTTTTTTCACATACTTTATTGTACTTACACCAGCTCACAACAATTCAATGATATTAGAATCAATGTCAGATATTATCTTTACAAATATAGAATGTTCGTAACCTATAGTTAGTCTAAGGCAACCTATTCAAAAACCAACCTGGTTCCAACTTCACCCTAAGGGAAGCCATTGTCGAAGGTCCCGAAGGTGGACATGATGACGGCGTCGGAACTGGTCCGGGGCAAGTGATCGATGTGACTGCCTCTAAGATAGACGTCGACGAACAGCTGTGATGAATTCCCAGGCCATTCTGAGTGACAACTCCCCGAACAGGGCTATCCAAGCCTGTGCTATTACTGGGTTTGCTTCCAACTGACTGAAGTGACAACGTTGATGAGCGCGCCGGAGCCTTCCGTTTGACGGCGGAGGCGCTCATTATCCGACCTAAACAGTAGAGGCGAAAAAAAGCCTTTATTGGTCCTGAGTAAAAAGTTGATAACGGGCGCAAATAAAGTTGATAAATAAGGTTAGGCTTTGAAGGCAGAAAATAAGAGAAGGCTGCTCTAGGGCAAATAAATGCACGCAGTATATGATTTCACTATAAACGTTCGACGAAAACACTACACTGATATAGTTATTGGATCAGACAACACCTGAAATTATGAAAAAAACGGAGCTAATGGTAGCAATAATAGTAATAATAATAGCAGTAGTAATAATTACAATATTTTTTCCCGATTATTGTAATTTCTTAACACTTATTATGAATTTATCACAATTATTAAGATATAAATTTATGTATGGTAGGGAATCTTTTGTGACCTTAGCAAAAAAAAAAATTGACATTCCTTGAAAGGGGCTTTTTTTTGTTTTCTATCATCGTAAGCAAAGGCGACAAGACTTGCCTACCCTAACGTTAGCTCTAAAGGCGCCTGTTTGAAAGCTGTGACCCAATCGTTGCTAATGCCGTCGCGTCGCCCTTAAAATTCAGCCATTTTATTCAACTGAGCTTAAACTAATACATTCATGGTCTCGCTGTACATTCGTGGTTTTCTCTTGAATTTCCAATTGCACTTCCAATTGAACTTATAATCCCAAATCATAAGCCTACCGAAGATAGTAGTTCGAAAACGATAAAATTTCATAACGATAATAATAACAGTGAGGAAACAGACGTAAAAATGTAATGAAAAACAAACGTTTCAGATTTTCCTTTCTGTGTTTTTTCAGTTTCAATGCAACAACTGTTCACTCCCTCAGATCGCAAAGCTACTTACTTTTACACATTCATAGATCAACTGTTCGGTGAAGGCATAATTCTAAGCTCGTTCATCACCGGTTCACTTTTTGAAAATAGGTTTCGTGTGTATACTCCCTATGTGTCTGATCGAAGGTGTCGATAGCAATACATAGACATACAACAAATACACTAACCAATTGGCGCAGCTGTGGGCATCTGCGATTCCGAGGCCGGCGAAGTTATTCTAGGACCCTCTTCTTTAATTTCCATTGGCCGAAGTTCCGTTTGACCCGTGGCGGTAGCTACCGGAACTGCCGAAAATATTTCAGAGTCCAAATCTTCTGCAAATACAAAATGACACACCGTATGAAACATGACTTTATATGAGCATCTGTTACATGTACAGAAAGTTGATGTTTGGTTTTATTGGATTGTAAATAAATGTGTATTACGTAATGTGCAAACTAAATTAAAACGCCAAACCTCATGACGGTGAGATCTTATTTAATTCTGCTTCCATTTGCAAACGAGGCCTTCACCGAAACGTCGGTTCTGTTTGCCGTTTGTATAACGACAGTGAACTGACCTTCTTCCATTTTGATATGAGGCAGCACAAACTGATGTACTGTATCATCAGATTCCTGAGATCCCACAGTCGCCTCTTGTTGGCTGGAGTATGAATGCTCTCCGGTGACTGTGTCACATCCTGACATCATGCGGTCCTGAAATAGCAGTGGACTACCTGGCAGCAACCACTCAGGACCGCTTCCCGCTCCTCCACCGAGCTCTCCCTGGAAGGCAACATAAAACAGGCGCAAAATAAATAAACATTACCACACAATATATACTAATGGCCATATTTGTATGTATTGATACTGTATGTACAGATAGTTTCTATTCTAGAATTATCATCAATTATAATTTTAAATTTTCTATATACGAACGAGCTTCGAATACTAGCAGATTATCTGTGCGCGGCGGCGAAAAACGTTTTCGAACCAGTCGACAGAGCATACGACTGACATAACTTACTCAATGTCGGTTGCTGCGCCTTACATTTAATTAAATCCAATACCCGACGCCTGACACAATACGAGATAAATAAGTATAATAAACGCGTTAAAAAGGTTTCCCCAAGGACAAAGCGTTTATCTTCCCATGGACAAAATGTTTGCTTAACTAACGTAGTTCAATATCTCTTAGAATAGATCACCGGTCCCGAAGCGAATGTGCTGGAGAAGGTATAATTTTTAAATGACCTGTTTCACCCATTCCTGATAATTAAACTTTGTGCTCACCCATACATACACGTTATGCTGATCAAATAACGGGAACAAAACAACAATCGAACACCCAACAAATTCTATTTCTGCAATCAGTATTCTCTTTCGACACATACAGCGACACAACTGTCTGCTCAAAGGAACAATAAACTTTGCGTCATTAAATCTGGCCTGAGATTTCGTTCGGAAATAGTCGAGAATCGTGTTTAGATAGACGTTATCATTTGCCAAGACAGATTTAAGAAGCTTAAACGCGTTCTAGCTACGTAATTGGTAGCTAAGTTAAAGAATGATTCGATATATTGTTTGTTTTGAGTTCCGGATAATTCCTGCTACTGCGTTTGTTTTGCGTTCTTCTTATACGTGCCTGTGGTAAGCCAAACATTTACAGAGGTGCGTGTACACGCCTCATTGAAGCTCATCGCGAAGACTCCTTATAAAATGAAGACACAGTTTTCAAAACAATGCTTCGCTTAAATAGGAGAATTTAATAAACTCTCTTATACTTCTTCAGTAACATTTGTAAGATGACCGAGTCGTACATCTATGGTTTTCATTATGAAGTATTAGACTTATTTTGCGAAAGTACCATGCGATATCGTCATAGTTTCTCCTATTTGTGTAGAGCAAGACGGAAAAAGGTTTTCCTTTAGGGAAACCTTGAACCCATACAAAGAAAAAGGTCTAGTCAGGCTTTGAGAAAACAACGATTTTTCAATACGAATTTCAGAGAAAAAAATTGGCCTGTTCCTTATGCGCATATGATAAGCCGCTTAAATATTGCCTGCTTGCAATCACATACTCTCGCACATCCAGTGAAATGAGTGGGAATTGTTGCCGTCAGCAGTGAAAAATGTCAACATTGTAACGAGCTTCCGCTATATATATATATACACCCAATGTTTTGCCTATACACAGTAACACCCAATGTTTTGCCTATATACAGTAACACCCAATGTTTTGCCTATATACAGTAACAACCAATGTTTTGCCTATATACAGTAACACCCAATGTTTTGCCTATATACAGTAACACCAATGTTTTGCCTATATACAGTAACACCCAATGTTTTGCCTATATACAGTAACACCCAATGTTTTGCCTATATACAGTAGAAATCCTAAGGTCTGCTATGATTCACCCTATCATTGCAGACAGGTCAAACGTCCGAACGCCTAATATTGATTGGTAGGGTGTTTCGCCGCAATATCATATGATATGGCGCCCCGTCTCAGAGCAACTTCGATCGGAAGCCAATGAACAACCAGGAAAGCAGTGTTTTGTCATATTAAAAAAGTAAATAACTACATTAAAACTGCGAATAGATTTATCTTTCTTGGAATATCTGAGCCCGGATCGTCGTTTCGTTATTATGTAAATGTTTAGGCTGCGATATAAAGACCTCCAGGTAAAATTGGTGCTCAGCTTGGTAAAAAAATTCTAGCTTTTATCTTGCAACTGAACAAAATGTTACATACAATAGAGCCCCGAATGCACATAATAAAATTTTTGCTATAATTATATATAAAAACGACTTTAATGTAATGTAACTTTCGGCCCTGACTTCATGCCAAGTAATTTTAGCGAACAATATCGTTGGGCGAAAGAAAAGTATATTCAATTGGCAATTACCAAGCATATGAGACTTAATGAGCTCAACTAACTGACTTCAAGTTCTATTGAGTTCCCTGAAACTTTCAGCCAGCCAATTAGAACGAAGTGAAAGAAGGCAGTCCACAGTTACCTGCCAACCAGGAAATCTTAGCCAGGGCTCACAACTTTTAAATAGTTACCGTTCATGGTCAGGCATGTTTTAACTCAGTTTCATCTGACAGATTTACTTGGATATTTTATGAATTTAACCCATGATACATACACAAGCGTCCTTAATATGCACCGGAAATAACACGCCAAGTAATACCATGTACGTGATTAAGCTTTCTATAGTTTTTCTATCCATACTCTATATCGAGATATCCATTTACTAATGGCTTAGGCGGGTCTCGTAGGCGACAATCCAATAGCTCAAGTGCGGACCCCGACAGCTGTTCGCCGTAAGATGACAGATCAACGATTATAGACTTGCCCTCCTTACCATATGAACAGGCAGGATCATCTCGAGATCGTAGCAACATCCACTCTCGTCCCGTTCTTCTTTGACAAACACTGACATAATTGTTGGTCGCGGATCAGTTGTCGACAAATGGTCCAGCCCAAACAGATGGACTTTCCAGCTACTCACGTGTGACGTACATTCCCCGCAGTACGCAGCTCGAATCAATACACTCGTAGCATTTATCGTTCGTTGTATCCCACTCGGAAACTAGCAGTTTCTTAGACATCGTAGATCGTAGTTTTGTAGCAATCAGATACGATCTACCGACCCCATTGAGCGTATAGTTAACGACTGTTCTCCCGCTTGCGTTAGATGTCTCTTACTGCACGTCAGTATCTCACTTCGCCGCAAGATGTGCATCACTAGCCTTAGCGTGTGCGCGAAAAACCGCTTGAAACAGACGTCTGTAGATTGTGTTCGCAGTGAATTTCTAATCACTGCTAAATTTTAGTCATGGGTTCTTTACAAAGAATACTACATAGTAACTGGGTTCACCGCTATCACTCCAACAGCAGGCAATAGTAGCACGGTCATAAGCCAAGCCGAAGGAGAACGGACGGCTAAAGGAGGATGTCAGTCCTCACTGTTTATGGATAGTGGAGAGGGATCAGACCGAAGCAATCGACCACTGCAAACGACGGACAACGTTGGTGGTTCGCCATGAAAATGCAAGCGCAACGGGTGACTGTGTGAATACGATCGTGTGTTTGACTCGGAACGAAAATAGGCCCGTCGTTCGATGGCTGCCAGTAACAATACTTGTAGAAGAAGTGATGTTAAAGGGCGGTCGTCGAATGCGTAGCAATAGTCGTTCGTGATCCTGGCGACTGTGAGGGATAGTTCTATCGTTGATACTCTCTTTCCGAGACAAAAGCGCGACTCCTACTGGAGAGGGAGCCTGGTAAATCGGCCGTGCCACGTGGCACTGACGTGGACGTAAAAATCCTTGACAAGGAAACACATCCACTTTATCGCCTCCTTTCACAGAGAATACGCAAAAATGTTGCGACTGCCACTGGCGCTATCGCCGGCTCCGCCAACTCTACTGATAGACAAAGCCAGCGCCACTGACTGACCGCAGCTATCCAGCACAAAATTATTACGCGATTATTTTAACAACACCAGCAGTATCAGTGATATTATTAGTTAGCCGTAGAGCAACATCAGTCCTGTGCGGTCCTAGTTGCATGCCGCGTACGCGATCATGGACAGCAAATGGTTCCAACACTACAAACACGGGCGGTCTTGTCATTAGGAAAAATACAATCTCTCTCTATTTCTCCGCAGGTTTTTAGTTTAGGATTTTCTGTGCAGACGACCCGACGAAAATGTGACCTACAAATTGAATGGTTAGTCTCTCCATATTAATGCGTTTATGCAAAACTGTATCGCTCGAAAAAATCCAAGCTTCAATTAGCAGGCCTTACTCGGACTCTAAATCGCATTTAAAGACCAGAGCCCGCAGTACGAGACACTCGACTAAAATTGTTCAGATATGATTTGTTTGTCGGGGCTGATTTTTATTTCATATAATAATTTGTGTCAAATCGTGTGGGCAGGGAAGGAGGTATATGCCTGCCTAGGCAAAGTCCTTTGCGTAATTAGCAATCAATTAGACAAGTGCAGCCTTTACGTGCTGTGTGTAAGTACAATCTTTTGAAGAACAAAATGATACTATACAAGAGAGACGTATTTCCCTATTGAAGGACTCTAATGATCCGTCAAGTTGAGAGCAAACAGGCCCTCATAGCTATGATAGAGAGATATTTTTCAAGTTTGCAGTTGTAACATACGTTTTGATTACACGGTCATGCCACTTGTCGTGAACTTTGCCCTGCGTCGAACTGCGCTTGTTCTATACAGATCTACCTAATAACGCGATGCGATTAAAATCCACTATCCGCATAAGAATGATTTGTACAGGGGCTATCAATTGAAAGCTTAAGATAGCACGGTCTCAAATGATTGCTGGCACAATTAGCATAAGGAAACGAAGTCAAGGCAGAAGTTATTCGGTAGTCTTCAATCTGGATAACTTTTCTATCTGGTAACTTCTATCTGGATTTCACAAACGTATAACATTCGGCTGAACTGCTTCTGTTTTGATCCTTAGTGCCGCAGCGCTAGCCATCAAGGGAATTCTACTTGCTTTCGGCATATTTGTTCAAAAGGTTTCCATTAATTTTTACCTAAATGAGCCTATTAAAACTATAGTTCAGCTTAAACAAAGGTTAATCAAGTGACTGATGGCTGGGCAAAGCTTACTTGTAAGGTTACAGGACGTTACTTCTACAGACCGGAAAAAAAAGTTATTTAACAACACAACATCAAATTTGGGTTTGAATAAAGGTGTGACTTTCTGCGTGATTACGCACGTTTTTGTCCACCTGT